GATATGGTTTTGAATGAAGGGCTCCTCATGTTTTTGTTTCATGTCTATCTTAAGTGCTTCCTTCAAAAAAAAAAGGAAAAAAAAAAAAAAAAAAAGCCTGTGGAAGATGTACATATTACAAAAGATATATAACTATTAAGATTTATTGTTCTTGCTCCAAGTTGATATGGTCTTGAATGAAGGGCAACTCCTTCATGTTTTTATGGTGGTTATCTGTGGCTTATCTTCTCTCAAGTGCTTTCCCTTCAAAAACTTAAAAAAGGAAACAAACAATTAAAAAAAAAAAATCTTTTAACAAGATAAACATTTGAAATTTAAGAATTTAAGTTCTAAAGAGTTTAGGGCGTAAATTCCAACCTACGGTGATTTTCAAAGGCATCAACAGCTAACTACTGCACAAGAGATTTGAATCGAAACATTCTATACAGAGAGAAATTAGTGTGCCCATAACTAAAGGAGAGGTTGAGAAAGGATTATAAAGCTAAAAGAACATTTGAGTTAAAAAGCAGGAGACCTTGCCTGACATGAATTCTTCTTTGTTTGATTCCTTCATATCTTTCAAACAGAAAGGTCTTTTCACTTCGACGACTTCATATACTCGTCAAAGATCGGGAAATTGTTGGACCCTCCTGATTGCACTTGTTGAAATTTGGCTATGCACCAAATTTTATTTCCATGCCCACTCCACTCATATTTGAAGAAATAGCCATTCAATTCCTGCGCAACTCCATAGACTCCCACGGGGGCTACTGATGGATATTGGTTTACTTAATTCTTGCATCAGGAGTATACCGGGGCTCGGCCTATTAACAAAGAATCAGGACGAGAGAGAGGATTCAGAACATCGAAATAAGTTTGCAAAAAGAAAAAAAAAAAAAAAAAAAAATCTTAAACAAGATAACATTGAAATTTAAAATTTAAGTTCTAAACAGTTACTAAATTCCACCTGTGTTTTCAAGGCGTCAACAGCTACCTGCACAAGAATTGAATCGAAACATCTATACAGAGAAATTAGTGTGGCCCAGAACTAAAGGAATTGAGAAAAGGATTATAGCTAAAAGAACATTTGGTTACAAAGCAGGAGATTGCCTGAATGAATTCTCTGTTGTTGATTCCATCTTTCAAACAGAAAGTCTTCTTCACTTCGACGCTTCATATACTCGTCAAGATCAAATTGTGACCTTGTTGCACTTGTTGAAATTTGGCTATGCCCAAATTTATTTCCAGCCACTCCACTCATATTTGAAGAATAGCCATCAATTCCTGGACTCCAACTCCCACGGCTACTGATGGAATGGTTACTTAATTCTTGCACAGGGGTGGCGTCCTATTAACAAGAATTCAGAGAGAGAGAGATTCAGAACATCCGAAATAAGTTTGCAAGGAAGAACTTACATAACGAAATGAGAATGTAAATTTGCTAAACAAGATTAAAATGGGAACGCAAAAGGTCAAATGCAATATCACCTGAGGAGCTTGCCAAAATTTTGTTTGTGGGGTTGCCATCGACTCTGTTTTCTTGCTCGATAAAGGAGAAGCATCATTAGAAGTTTCCCATTGTAACCAAGGCAGGACAACCCCGTCCATTTCAACAGGAAAAGACTTGGTGGACATCACTGGACTTTGGAAATTTTGTGTCTTTGGTAATCCTCCTAAACTTGAACTTGTATCGCTACTCCTTTCCCCATCTATAGATGAGATATCTGTATCTTCAAGATTTGAAATGAAATCTTCAATATATTTCTCTGCATCCTCAGTCAATCGCTTAGACATCCTGCTTCTGTCATTGCTTTTCTGGAGTATAGATTGCACATTATTGAATCAACATAAAATCTTTCTTCTCTTTAGTACGGCTGTATGGCCAACTAACATATGGGAATTTGACTATGAAATGAAAGGATACAGACGAGAATTTGTACCTTCCGAGTTCGTGCTGGTCTTTCCACAACACTGTCATTTGGATCAGGAAGCAATTCCTTCACAATCATGTTAAGTTCCCTCCCTCGCTGCTCCTCCAACAATATTTCTGATAATAACTCTTGTTTACGTTTCTCAGACTGTCAAGAAATAAGGTCCATGAGAAACAAAATTTACCAAGGCACCTCCATATCATGCAATAGGAAAAGAAATGCCCAATGAATGCTCTGTCCAAGTGAAAAAAAGTATACATCATCCTATTATTCAACTTAACTAGTTCCTGCTTGGTCTCAGAAGGCAACTTAACATATAGTATTTTTAAGTTTTCAGTCTTCTAATCATGCGTTCAGACCACAATATCACTGAAATGTAATCCTCCACAGAATATCATTGTGATTAAGAACTTGCAATATTAACATACTCATATTTTAATAAATAAAGAACAGGTGCTTGTTAAGCACTAATGTTAAATGATAGATGGAACCAGCTCCTTCCCAAAAGGCCTTTGGAGGATTGTAATACCGTAAACACAAGTTGCTAGAACCTTACGACATAACAAATTACTGAATAAGTAAACAGTGCCTAAAGCAAAGTTGGCGTTTCAAGTTTTAATGTGATATGCTTTCTCACGTGTTTATGATGCTAACAGTTAGTACAAGAATGATACCCCATTGAAACACAAGACATATATCAAATTTGACTCTTCATACCAGTTCCAACTTTGATGCATAATTCTTCCTAATAGTAGAAACGGCCTGAAGAACATCAGAACTTTTGGATTGCAAGCTGTCATTCCTTGCTAAACCAGAGTTATTTGGTTTTCTCTTGCCCTGCATATGTTGCAAGGAAATCTTGGTAAGTTTCAGCAAAGACAAGGAGAAAGGCAGCAAGTTTTACACAAAATAAGGGACACAAAGACATTGGAAATTAGGTTCATAAGATTTTCTATTACACACTTTTTCAAGTTCCATTTTGATTTCTTCTACTGCATTCCTTAGTTCTTTTCGCATTGCTGCATATAGCCCACTGTTCATATCAATATCATCAGCAGTGGGATGCTCAGCCTAAAGAATGAAAAGGACTGGCAGTAAGTGGCAGATGTAAAAAGGTGGTAAAATTATGCAAGCACAACCAGACACTCAGAGAAAACACAGTGCTATATCTATTATACAATTGTCACAGATTAAAATCAAACCTTCTTCTGTGCATAAACAGCTCGTATTGTTTTCTCAGTGCGATGTACATCGGGATGAGCATCTCTTCCTTCATCATCAGTTAGTATTGACGAGTGGCTCTGAAAGGACCATGAACATTTATAAACTTGGTTCAGCTCTCAGACAACTCAGATGAAAAAATTATGAACATGAATTTAACATAACAAACATGCATATGAAAACAGCCAGTCATTGAATCAGGCCAGACTATCAGCATTAATATACAAAATCCATGAGATTATAAGGCTTACAGAATAGCCATCCTGGTTCTTCAGATCTTTTTGGCTCAGAGACCTTCTAAGTCCTTGTCTTTGATTTGAAGCACCTGTCTTATTTGATAATGGCACCTGGCTATTTCTACCGTTGAAACTCTTCAACGTAGCACAATTTGCTGAAGTCTGCGAATGATCTAAATCACTCTGCCGTTTCAAAGAACAAAAGACATATTTTAGAAAAGATCAGGTTTGATTTCTCTAACCCACAGACAATGGCATAATCCATAGAGCATTCAAGGCTTTAGTACAAGAATAGACTAATTTGTTCACAAATTCTCAAAGTGGTTTCAAACATTCTCATTCAAGCATTCATATGCTCATGAAGCATGCACGAACCCCAAATAGGTAAAGGCATATGCTCAAAATGCAAACATAGTCTTACTAATGACATTTTCAATGCAGCAAAAACACTGGAGATGCATTGATAGTTGAGTCAAAGTCCTCTCCTTATAACCTTCTTATAAGGTTAAATCAAAAGAGAATTTAATATTGATAAATTTAAATAAACTTGGGTATTGGTACTATAGTACAGTAGATATACATGATTTGATAGCCGATTAGACAAATTTTGAAACTATTCCTTTGTTCAGCAGAACAAGCATATGCATGCCTTAATTAATGAACATTCAATCAGTTTCCCCATACATGCTAATCAAAGATGCAATGGGAATTACAATTGAACAAGTTCGCAAATATTCAGCTCCATGAAGCATGTAATACAATCCAGTACCCATAAATAATGAAAAACCGTATCCTTGCAAAGTTAGTTGCGCTAACTAAAATTTATGAAAAGAACCCCTCAAATACTGTAAGTTGTAACATTAGCACCTCTCTTTCCAAGTTTTACCTAATAACTGCAATTGCGAAAAATTCCTAATCCATGAAAGTCTATAACCTTAAGTATCTATAGCTGTTCACTTGGCTTTAACATGCATATCGGTCCATTTCACTTTCACATTAACATTGATCACAAATGCAGCCACAGGGCCGAAACACCAAACTATCATTAACTTGTTACTAATGAAGAAATTTTTAAGAACGTCATAAATGCAATCCCAGAGTTTGCCACTTGTAATGCGTACATATAAAAGTTTTACCTCATCCAAGAAAATCGTAATCCAAAGCTAGAAACTTTTACATGGAAAAAAATTCAGACAAATATTCATAACCATATTTAAAGATGATTAGCACAGTAATAGAACTAATAAAAGGGAAGCAAGCTAAAGTTTTCACCTCAGAATCACTAATTTGATATCGAACCACCGAAACCGATCGCCTCCTCCTCGAGTTATTTTCCGAATTGACCCGTCCCCCACCATAGCTATTTCCACCACTAGCCTTCCCTTCACCAACTCTCGAGCTATGCCTCGACACAGACCTCCCTCTTCTTTGAGACACACTCATTCTATCCCCAGGGGCGACGTCATCAGTCCTCGAACCAGAACGACCTCGATCAGTAGAATCAAAGAACTTAACAGCGAGATCATCAAGAGTAATATCTGGAAACCCCGATCCTCTAACGGTATTGACAAACCTCCCTCTAGGAACCGGAGCATCGTCGGATAAGTCATCTCCCGGAACAGGCATAGGTCGGGAGAATCGGCTGAGACTTCGAGACCGACGGTGAATCGAGCTACTCCGACTAGAAGAAGAAGATTCATCTGTGGCGGCGGGAGCAGAGGATTTGGCAATAGGCGTTCTTTTAGTGGTGGACTTGAACGCCGACGTCGCCATGTGAAATGGAGTGGGTAAAGAAAAAATCCCCAATTATAATCTGATAAAAGGAAATATTCAAACATATATGGAAAGTTAATCAGGGATATTTATCACCATTTTAATATCGAGAATTAAATGCTAATTTGATGAAAATGGATTTGGAGGTCTGGCATTTGGTAAAGTAAAGAAGGAGCTCACGAGGAAGTTAGTTGTTACTGATAATGAAGGAGAGAGAAGGTTCAGTTTTTGAACATTAAAGAAGAAGATTGGCGGAGAGATCAATATTTCAGAAAAATTTGAAAATGGTCGCTCTACTTGTACGTATGTATTCTTCAAAATTACGAGATATACCACTGACAAATGACAATGGCCGGTAAAATCTGGGGGTTGTCTCGGTCAAACTTAGGACCTGCGTGCGCCAACAGCGGGGTGGTCAAACCGCATAAAACACCAAAATTACTAGCTCCGGCAACGGACCGCTATGATGTTTGGAAAATATTTTTTATTTATTACGAGGCTTGCACACAAATAATATTTTGGACTAGAGTAGCTTTCTTTCTTTAGCTTATTGAATTGATGAGAGCTGTAGTAAGAAAGTGTTAATACCTACTCTTAATTTACTAATTTAATAATTAATTACCATTTAAAAAAAATTGTCATTCTTTAATATTATTTTATATCTTTTTCTCATTAAAACATAGCTATACCTCATTTGTCCAAATGTCTTATGTGCCAAAATTCTTTATTAAATTAGCTTGGTGTAAAATTAACCATTTTTTATTTCTTATAAAATGCGTATTTTATATTATTATTAATAGTATTATTATATAGAAAATTCTTATCATTATCGATAGTTGATTACAAATAGATTGAAAGATATTTTTACAATTCTTTTTAAAAAATTTTAAATTTTATTTTTTGGCTATAAAATTGGTGATTTTAATTAAAAAAAAAAGAAAAAATTAAGCCGAACCGGTTCAATTATGATCCAATGATCCAACAATTATGATCCAATGATCCAATCATCACCCAGCGGTTCACGTCCGGCCCAATTTTAAAACATTGGCAAAGATGCAAGATGTTACAGGCTTATAGCTGCTAAAACACTTTAAGCACTGCAATAATGAAACGAAAACCATCATCTCACCTCGCTACGAAACCAGAACTGTTGGGGTAAAAGTTACTTGTAACAAATTGACTGCTCAAATTGTTATACCCTAACCCCTCCACGAAAAATATTATGAACGCTTGGGACATCTCAACATCTGACGATGAAAAAAAGTGTTTCCACCTGCTTTACTTTTTGGTAGTCGTTTGCTTCTGATTCTTTCCGAAGCAGTATTCATTCTCTATTCCACCAAACCACAATTGTACGCACAAGCAAGCGGGAGAGAGAGAGAGAGAGATGATGTGCATAGCACGCACATGCAAGTGAGACGAGCAAAGTGTGAAGCATGGGGTCATAAAATGGTACATAAATGAGACGAGCAAAGTGCATAGCACGCACATGCAAGTGAGACGAGCAAAGTGTGAAGCATGGGGTCATAAAATGGTACATAAATGAGACGAGCAAAGTGCATAGCACGCACATGCAAGTGAGACGAGCAAAGTGTGAAGCATGGGGTCATAAAATGGTACATAAATGAGACGAGCAAAGTGCATAGCACGCACATGCAAGTGAGACGAGCAAAGTGTGAAGCATGGGGTCATAAAATGGTACATAAATGACGAGCAAAGTGTGAAGCATGGGGTCATAAAATGGTACATAAATGAGACGAGCAAAGTGCATAGCACGCACATGCAAGTGAGACGAGCAAAGTGTGAAGCATGGGGTCATAAAATGGTACATAAATGAGACGAGCAAAGTGCATAGCACGCACATGCAAGTGAGACGAGCAAAGTGTGAAGCATGGGGTCATAAAATGGTACATAAATGAGACGAGCAAAGTGCATAGCACGCACATGCAAGTGAGACGAGCAAAGTGTGAAGCATGGGGTCATAAAATGGTACATAAATGAGACGAGCAAAGTGCATAGCACGCACATGCAAGTGAGACGAGCAAAGTGTGAAGCATGGGGTCATAAAATGGTACATAAATGTGCAGAATATGCACAAGAGCCGATAGTTTTGTTTCAAAATATCTCAACACACTAGCAAGACAAAATATTCAAATCCAGTAGGAGGAATTTAAACTCCCTCTCAATACCAACACACAGTAAATACCAGATCTAAGAAACCAAATACAAGCATGCATGAAATTGATCGGTCAATCCCGCCTTCGAACGAATTTATTCTCATTTGGCCTCAGTACTAACATAAACACCACCAAGACATGTTGGAGGAAGCCTCATAACATATTGCTGCAGCCTTAATGATGAGATGCCATATGGCAGATCAAGTCAACCACCCGGGTGCTGCAAAATTGCACAACACAAAAATTAGCATCATCTTGTTAGGAAACACCAATTTAGCAAACTGTAAAGCAAAAGTCATCAGCATCATATACCCTCACCACCAGCAGGACTGGTAAATTGTAAACACCTATTGCTCAAAAATTAAAATTGAAATTAACCGACAAGGTTCCCCTCAACCTCCATGACCAAAATAGGCACATTTGATTCATTAAATGCATACACAAGTAGATGAAGGTTTGAATGAAAATTACCTGTAACCAACCTCATTGTCGTACCAAGAAACAAGCTTCACAAACTTATCATTCAAAGCAATTCCAGCTTTGGCATCAAAAATACTTGACCTGCATTTAACAAATTACACATATTATCTTTTTGTAGAAATCCTGAGAAGCACATCCCAACAAACAAAACAGCACACGTCAATAGCAAGAAAGATGATTTTATAGCTAAGAACTTACAGGACATTCCCACAAGAGTTAGCAAGGAGGGTAGAATATGTTTATAAAGACAACTATAAAAAGTAAAACATAAATGTGCAAGACATGCATGCCCATTTATCCGCTAATAAGCTCAAGCAATAAAAAGGCCAGAATCCATTTTAAAGATATAATCAATTTACATTGCAGTCCTTATTAAGAACCTATTTGGGTCAATTTAAACTACCTCCAAGCAACCAAACAAAAGGCAGGTCATGCCTCCTGCAACAAAAACCAATAACATTTACATTGGCCATCCTTACCTGTTGTCACCAATGAAGTCAGAGGAAACCAGATCTTCCTCGACATAGCCCAATATTCCCTTCAGCTTTCCCTCAGACTCCTCTCTGTATTCAAATTAGTACACAATAAGACTTAAGGAAAAGAAAGGAGATAAAATAGACCATAAATTGAAAATCTTAAGCATTTTAAATTTGACCAGCCAAGAGAGACCTGTCTGTCGCAATAAAAACATCACATAATCGTTTTGCAACTTTTAAGACTGATTTCACTCACTTGATAGCAGCTTTAATTTGTTCATATGTAGCAGCCTTCTCTAGCCTAACAGTGAGATCAACCACAGAGACATCAACAGTTGGAACACGGAAAGCCATTCCAGTAAGCTTGCCGTTCAGAGCAGGTAGCACCTTCCCAACAGCCTAAGAAAAAACAAGAATTCAAATCCACCAAGAGAGAGGAGTCAAATACCATAATAATTCAGGACAGAAATTTAGAATTGTTACAACCAGCCCCCACCACTAGCACATCACAAATGCAGAATCCAACTAATATACATAACAATCATTGGTTGTCGACCAGAAAGTCCATACCTTAGCAGCTCCTGTGCTGCTAGGAATGATGTTGAAGGAAGCAGCTCTTCCACCTCTCCAATCCTTGCTTGATGGCCCATCAACAGTCTTTTGGGTAGCTGAATTAAGGGTAGAATAAACACAATAAGGACAAGGTGTATGCTCTTATAAGTTATAACCACACCAGCACAAAATAAAAACACATGAAGCATACCAGTAATGGAGTGGACAGTTGTCATAAGACCCTCAACAATGCCGAAGCGATCATTGATAACCTGCAAAATTGGACAAAGGATAAGTACAAAATAATACTGATCACTTTCAGACTTTAGCTAAAGCAATAGAGCAGATGAACAGGAAATAACAATAGCACCTTTGCAAGAGGAGCAAGGCAGTTAGTGGTGCAGCTGGCATTTGATACAATGTGAATATCTGGCTTGTAGTCGTGCTCATTGACACCAACAACAAACATGGGAGCATCCTTGCTTGGGGCTGAGATGATGACTTTCTTAGCACCACCCTGTCAATAAAGCCAGCACAATCAAATTAGGAAAACAAACGATATGGACAGAAGTAGTACAAAATATATCACTCTCGGACATGCACTCTTAATTATATAATTATATATCATTGAGGGTGGCTTTGGTGCATGGTGAAGTACATCACCACTAGTGACCCTGAAAGGTCAAGGGTTTGAGATATGGAACAATCTCTCCGCAAAAAGCAAGGGGAAGGCTGCATCAAACATCCCAAGAAAGCAATTTGAGGCCAATACAGTTTCTGTAATGTAAGTTCTCAACAGGCGTTTTTTTTTTCCGCTTCAAATAATACTAAATTACATTAGCAGCATACTGAGATACTTCAAAACAAAGAGCCCACCAAGATGATGCAATGACAACAAAATACAAGACGAAATTGAATAAAACTCGCAAAAAGGAACCAGTAGCAAATGATAATGGTAAAAAGAGTGGGATCCGGGTGGTAGAAACCTTCAAATGAGCAGCAGCCTTATCCTTGTCAGTGAACACTCCAGTTGATTCCACAATATACTCAGCTCCAGTCGAAGCCCATGGGATTTCCTCCGGGTTCCTTAAATTGCAAACAACAAATTAACTTCAGCAAGATAAAAATTACTAATAAATCACCAAATCGGAGCGAGAAAAATGAACAAAATGCATACCTGACACCAAAGACAGTGACAGGCTTCTCGCCAAAGAGAAGGGTCTTCTCATCCTTAACCTTCAACTCATGATGCTTCCATTGACCGTGAACTGTATCATACTTGAACATGTATGTCTACGAAAACAAACATCAACTTAATACATAGATCCAAAAAATACAAACACAAAAATTGAGGGGGGAAAAAACAACTGAAATATTAAAAAGAGAGATCCATGCATGAAGAAACCTCAACTACAGAGTTCGAAAGCTTAAACTATTACCATGTAGTCAACGGTAATGAAAGGATCGTTAACAGCAACGAGTTCAACATCGTCTCTCTGCAAGGCCACTCTAGCTACTAACCTTCCAATCCTTCCAAAACCTAATTTCCATTTACAACAACACAAATCAGACCTTAATCACTAAGATCAAGTCGAAATATCTTCACAAAAAATAGAAGAGTGAGATCTATTACCGTTGATTCCGATCTTAACTTTTCCTGTACATCAAAAAAAAAAAAAAAAAAAAAAAAAACCTAATTTCCATTTACAAACAAACTAAATCAGACCCCTTTTTATCACTAAGGATCAAAGTTCGAAAATATATCTGTCACAATTAAACATAGGAGAGAGTGATATCTAAATTACCGTTGATTTCCGATCTTAACTTTCCTTGTACATTCCATAAAAGAAAAACACAAAAAAAAAAACCAAACATGGATCAGATTTTCAGATCACTCAACAAAAAAAACTTTGAAACTCTAATAATTGAGAAACTAAATTACAAATCTCATAAATTCCCACGCGAACATCATTTTACCCATAGAACTAGCAGAGAGATATAGTTATATTCTAGCTGATCTAAGATTGAATATGCGAGAGGATAGTTTAAATAGCTACTAGGCGATGAGAGTTTGAAGATTAAGTTCGTTGAAAAAAAAAAAAAAAAAAAAAAAAACATGGATCAGATCAGATCACAACAAAAACGAAACTCTAAATGAGAATATACAATCTCAAAACCACGGAATCATTACCCATGACTACAGAGAGATAAGAATTCTAGCTGATCTAGTGAATAGCAGAGAGGAATAGTAATAGCACTAGGAGTGAGAGTAGAGATTAGTTGTTGAAGCAAGAAAAATGAGGTTTTAACATAAAGGTAAGCAACGGGACACCGGAACAGCCGGTGGAATAGTTGCTTGATTCCGTAACGTGTCTATTGCAAACAGGCCCGTAGTACATCACGAGTGGTGCTACTAAAAACCGTTAGATTTGATGATTGGGTAGGAGAGGAGGTGGGCTATATTTCTCAGCCGTTGATATTAGGAAGATAAAAAGTATCACGATTGCGTTGAGATAAAGACCGAGCGACCGTTCTCGATGGCGAAAAGTCAAGTGTTATTCTCTAGGAAGTTCTTTTGGTTCACGTCCACGGAGAAAAAGTTAAGGGTGGCAAGTGGTCGCCACGTCAGGGGTTTTGTGGTGTGTTATTTAGGGCCACGTCACTTTTGAAGGTCATGAGGATTGGGTTGGCCGGTTGACAAGTGGTCCGTTTGACAGACGCTGTGCATGCATAAAGTAATAACAGTACAATCTAGAATGTACCACGGACAGCTGAGCCTGATAAGGCTCATATTCGGAAATGTTGGGCCTGGAATATAGTGTCTGTAATGGAAATATACATTTACGGTGATTTTAATTTTTTTGTGTTTTGTCTCCGTAGTAAATTATAAATTTCATCGTCTGTAATTTTCATAGGCACTTTTTCTAATAAAAGATTTTTCGGATTATGTTTTGAATATTAAAAAATAAAGTTTCACCGGTACATCAATTCACTACAATTAAAAAATTAAATTTATTATTGATAAAAGTAAACTAAAAGATGTTCGATCCACGAGTGTATAACTCTTTGTCTGAAAATCGGATAATATATCTATGTTTTCATATAGTTATTTATAATACAACTCAAATTGCAACCGACCATGTACATTTGTGGTAAAAATCCTAGCTTTAATTGCCAAGCAATAATTTTGATAATTAATGATTTTTTAATGATTTCGTTGACTAAACCTTACTTTACTTGAACGTAATTAGATAACGTTCAGCTTTTAATTAGTTGCTTGGTTCGGTCACTCTAATCTAATTGGTCATTTTAATTTATTTGGTGTGCATTAGTAATCTGTTCCTACCAATTATAATAATCTACATTTTTCAACAAAATCGATCTATTTAAACAATAAACATGAGCAAATATATAAATATTCTCTCAAAACATTCCCAATTTATTACTGTTCCATTTGTTTTCTCTTTTAATAGAACTTTTTTTTTAAACCACATTTTTTAACTGACCGATGTAAATTAAACCATACACGTTTCAAAATGTAATGCATATTTGTTTCATCTGTAAAGACTTGACCCTTAACTTTACCTAATAAACAGCGGTGAGCCGCTGGTCCAATCGCTCATTGGTTAAATTCTAAGTTATTACGTGCATACATTCACTGTTAGACTGGTGTTGGGCCATTAGGTTGATAGCATCAATGTCAAAAAAAAAAGGTTGATAGCATATTCAACGGAGTTAGTGGTTGAAATTCAGGCACTATTCTGACCTTCTCCCCACCCAACTACTACATGTCTTCACAGTTTACACTTGAGGTCAGCAAATGTTTACACCCAACCTTTAACATTTTGTTTTTCTTCGTGGGAGAAAAAAAAAAAAAAAACCAGATAAATATGGTGTGTGTACCTACCTTCCACTCATTTTCATCATATATTATATATGTTGAGATTTGAGAGCGGACATTTATAATAAAAATTTAGGACAAGGACAAAAAGAAAATACCAGACAAATCTACGCTGATGCTACCAACAACAAGCAATCTTTAATGGCTACGAACGAGTTCTGTGTTGTGGTAGTTTGATTTTTATCAGAGGACTCACAACTCACAGAAAGAAAGGAAATTTTGTGAGTTTAGGTTAGGTGGATCTCACCAAATGGCCATAATAGTCTTGACTCTTGAGAGAAACAAGAGGTTCAAATAAAATGGATGGTTGGCCAGACAAGATACAAGAATGACCACAAGATTTTGATTCAGATCTCTCACGTTTCCCTTTGACTTTCAATTTCTGGCCAGGAATAGGCGGTGGGTTGAGTTGAATTATGGTTTGACTTTCAACAGTGACTAACAACTACTGCCAGATGAAATTTACATTGGATAAAAAAATCAGTTTGTTTGCATTAAGAAATTATTTAGTGGATTTATATATAAATGCAGATTATGGTATAAGATTTACGTGTATATATGCGAAGATAGCGTTTGATTTTAGTACTTAAAATTTAAAAATTTCAGCTCTTTGGCTGCAAAACCTGTCTTTCGCTGGATGAGTTCTTTGATAGAGCTAAATGTCTTAAATCTAAGAATTAACCAATAAGGGTGTGCCACGAGTTGGTGAGGAATATCTCATTGATTCTTTGTTATAGGCAGTCCAAGGCAAGTCCATACGGCCCATGACAATGAAAATGAAAAGGCCACATCAGGCTTACCAGTAGAAATTTGAATCAGGGAGAACGTGGGCTTCATGGGCCACTTTTTTTTTTTTAGTTATTTGACATAATAAACAAGTTCAGCTCCTTTTTTTAGTTATTTGGCATAATAATTATAGTTTAATTTACATTTAATTCGAGAAAAATTTAGCTCAAAATTGACTTTTTAACTCAATTTACCTCTTGAACTTGTAATTCAATGATAAGTTACCCCAAATGTATTAGCTTGTGACACTGCGTAAATTAAAAATTAAGAAGGCAAATTGAATCAAAATATCGATTTTAAACTCGTTTGTTTCCTGAATTATAAATTTAAGGGTAAATAAGATTTTATTCTAAAGCACCACTAAAGGCCACATGGCAGGGAGAAGTTCAACATGACAAACCTATAATCTCAATGTTGTATTTGAATTTGAAATTTTATCTCATTATTTACAATAAGTAAATTTCACAATTATATAGATGAAGATGTCATTATTGAGCTCGTAAAGGCAAAAAAATAAATTCAATGTCCATGACATGAACTAATCCAAGCAAAGCATAAATGGACACCTACTTTTTAGTAAGAAAGAAATGGTAACATGTGCAAGCACAGGCATTCAGTAGCGTGCTTTGCGCCCCAAAAGGATTAGATAAGGCCCCAAGGGCAAGGGAATGTGTGTACATACATAGAATCTTGTACATAAATTGGAGAAAAAATAATTAAGGAGGCCCTTGTGAGGGGTCAAAACCAACAGGAATGACTTGTTCTTGGATTGGCCAACACCCCATTTTCTAAAGCAATGGCCCCTTCCTGTTAAGAATTATGGGCTCATCGACCTCCTCTCCCTCCATTGGTTCCATGTCTCTTTCTATCACATATTATCTCATTTATTTATTTTTTATTTATAAATTCACTAATTGCCACTTCAATGATATATTTAGAATTTATCCTATTTTGATATAAAAAAACAAATAATATATAATTATAAACGATAAATAATTAATTGAATCTTAAATTTATAAAATTTATTTGGAAATTTCATTTTTTTTATAAATTTTGATTTAGTTTTATTTTTTTCATATCAAACACGAAAATTTAAATTTAATGTGGAATTCCTTTATTCCAAATAACGAGCAAAAGAAAAAAAAAAGTTGCCAATCTCCAGATATATATTTGAAGAGAAATTTAAATTCCTTTTCAAAAATACAAAAAGAGAAATTTAAAAATTGAGAATGACATGGAAAATAGTACTGTAGAAAACCTGAGGGGCCCAATGTAGACGGGTCATACTAGAAAACGACGAAGAACATAAACACATGATCACATGGGTTTGCACATGAAGAAACGACAAACTGCATCAACTGCCTCAAGTGGGTTCAACCGTTCAAAACTTAATACTGCAAAATTCTTCAATCTGACCCCATTAATTATTTATTTTGCAAACTATAGAAATTAAAGTCCAATCATAAAATCATTGTCTTTTTATATATATGATCTGTGAATATGATTAACAGTTGCTTAAATCTACATGCTAATTCGGTACTAATACCCTAATTTTTTAGTATTTTATCTGTTGTCCAAACCAGCTAATAAAACTAATTAATTATTTTTATAATCCAACGATGAAATTAAGTCAAAGACAACCCAATCATACGTGGCAATTCCAGCTGGATTAATTGTACTCTCCTCGTTAATTAATTACAATACAACAATAATAATAACCAACGTATCATTTTGTAATATAACGATACGTGTTTTTAGTGTTCTTGACAATTTTTAATTAATAGCATATTCTCTGTTTTGCATTTCTGATTTAATTTTTCATTTAAATAAATCAAGTCTTTCCCTGTGAATCTAATCATTTATAGCTTTTTTAATTTTATGTATATTATTTATAGATAAATTAAATGGCCACACCTCTACCATGTCATATATGTATGCATATACGTACAAATCCAAAATACGGTACTAAAAATAATTGATGATATTTTTATAGGAAGAAGACTTGGGGAAGGACTTTGAGTTGATCACATGCTATATTATACTATAGAACATGGAAGAAATGAAGGGTATTTTGGTAAAAGCAAGTAGGAGAGGACTATATAACGAGGAGCATGTATGGTTGTTTGGCATGCACAAGTTTAGGGAAAAAAAACAAAGGTTCAGTACTGATCAGAGAAGAAAGAAGCAGCTATGAAGAAGAGACAGCAACAAGCACAGAAAGAGCAGCAAAAGGGCTGCAAAGAGCATCAAACCTATCATAACCAGTATCAGCAGAAGCAGATACAGTGCAATAAAGGAAAAACATGCAAGTTCAAGAGAAGTAGCTCCAATCTTGAAGACGATGGTGCTTCTTCTGCTATTTTCTTGCTTGCTTGCATTGCCTGCACTACTCCCTCTTACTGATATTTCTTTATTTACCCATATATATGTTAATTGGTATAGCTAGCGAGTTTCATCCTTATAATTTCGTTCCTTTTTCTCTGTTTGAAGTTACTAGTTGATTAACTGGTAATTAACTAGCTTAATTAATTTATAATTAGCATGTGTTTGCTATTTTCATTTCTCTATACTTAGCTATATCTTTTCCCTAATGATAATGAATTTCTTTTTTTATCTCATCATTTTTATTTAATATTGTTTCGTAGTAACAATTAATAGAATATTTAATATCATTAATTTCGTATTTAATTTATTGCTTCTCACTATAGTCTAATGTTATTTTCTTTTCTTTTATCCTTTAAAATGAGATATTATATTAAATATTTAAATTAATGTCCTTTCATTTATTTCTCTTAAATTGCATTTATTTATCTTAAAATAAGTCTCTATTTGAGCTTCTAACGATAACATACATAAACAGCCGTTTGATCTATCAAAGTCTGCTTTGAATCCCTTATAAATCATTCTGTGATTAATCAACCACTAATTAAGATTAGGGGAAGTAATTATTTTTTAATATTTAATAAATTAAAACTACTTCTCAAACAGAAAGTTCCAAATTAATTTTTAATAATTTCACAACTAAGTCATGTTAAATATCAATAATAAATATAACGTTTAACCATGATATTTATTATATTTTTCTCCACATCAAAACAACTGAATTATAGTAATTGCATGTACCAACTTTATTGGGCACAAAAAGTTGATAAATACACTTATTAGTTTTTGATAAGATCTAATTATATTAAATTATCTAATCTTTGCATAAAATTAAAAATGTCATTTTTGGGATTAATTTAAATATAATTTTGATATTTAAAAAAATATATAAATAATGTGCATCGCATGTATGAAATTTCTTATTATCATTATTATTATTAGGATTTAGTAAAGATTTTTAATTTTATGCATTAAAATTGCAATATATTATTAGTAATTTTTAAAACAAATTTTATTTTTATGATATAGACATATAATTATTTTTGTACATAATCTTATTAATGCGCGTTTATAATCTTATCTATCACGTGAATGCTCTTATTATAAAATGAACTGCTAAGGAACAAAAGCAGGAGGGCACATGCTGTGAGGTACGTTTTGGCGTCTATATTAAGTTAATTGGAGGGGGACTTTCGGACCAAAATATAAAATATATCATTTGATCATCCCAATGGCCTACATAAAATGTTGGAAATCAATAACTGGAACCAAACAATTCTACCACCGTTAATTTTTGCGACATTGCCATGTGATTGAGATATATCCATCTTTTCGGTTTCCGGATAAGGCCGTCCAAACTTGGTAATGCCTCATTCATGTGCTCTCAAATCAATTTCCTTTTATTTAAATTCTATAATTCTGATTGATTTTTTTACTAATATAAATAGTGAAAATTTTTAAATTTGAATTCTCGACCGTTAAAGAAAAGTAAAATTTTAATTTGATTAACTGAAACTAATGGAAAATATCAGGACGTCGTTCTTCATAAAATTTCCATTTATTACCTTTTAAAATTGATTTAATTACTTTTAAATAATTAAAGGAGACAACCTTCTTTCAATAATAATAATAATAAGTTGACAACCCTGCTTACGTAGTTTATTCAAATCCTTCATATAAGTAAAAAAAAGCAAAAAAAAAAAAAATCAAATCAAATCGCTAACTATTTAGGATAAGTTACTTCAGACAGGACATCAAAAATAAAAGTAAAGAAGCGATTTAGAACAAGTGGAAGAAGCATACCAATAAGCACAAATAATGCAACGTACGTTGCATTATTATTGCAATATGATACCTTCCATTGTTTGAGGAGAATACTCTATGTTTATGAGAATATAATTGCAGTTAATGGAGCTAATTAAGTGCTTGGCTTGAAAGAAGCATAGGAACAAATACCAGGATTTTTTTCAAACTTAAGCATTTCTTCCTTCGGCAAAGCAATCCAAGCTTCTATACCCTGACCATCTTTTGTATCAATAAAAATGGCAACCTTATAAAGCTTCAAGGCAGTACCAACCCAAATAGGCTTTCCCCATCCAAAATCAGCCTCATAAAATGGAAACCTGCACCAACTGCTAAAACCAAACACCTTCATCAAGTTAGGGTTTTTTCCAAGCTCCTCACTCTTTTTCTTCATAAACTCAAAATACCTACCTCCTGCGTGAATCTTCCTCACGTACTCATTATTCATTCTCTCTATTGACTCATGAAGATTTCCTGCTAATCCATTATAGTCTAAAACATTCTCATTCTTTGAACAATTTGCGATTGCCACTTGAAATATGTTTCCAATTGATAGTTCTGGGATTAATGGAATGATTCTTTTTCGCAAACCTACTGAAATGGCTGCGACATGCTCTTCTTCATTTCCGGCCATCACAGCCGCCCAAATGATAGCGGCCACAGCCTCCACCATAGTCGGACGATCCAAACACGGCCCATTTCCTACTTCTTCTCTTAAAGCTGAAATATTACAACTATCAAATAAAAATCTTTTAACCACAATTTTGCTTAATAATTCTTTACTTAAAAACTTATGCAACGAAAAGCCTCGCATGTCTTGTGGTGGGAAAAGCGATGTGCTATCGAAGATGACGCCATTAATATCAAAATTCGAGCCAGAAGCAATAGTAGCCCAGCTAGTGATAAAAGACGCCATAGCTGATGCATCGGCAATTGCATGCCAAATACAAACACTAATTGCAATTCCACCGCAATCAAAGTGGTTTATTTGAGCTGCAAGAATCACTTGAGAGCTTAAGTCATGCGGGTTGCATGGTAATAGCTTTTCTAGCTTATGTATTTCAGGTTCTTGAATTAGTACAGTAGACATGTCTCCGTTTACACGGGCTTCTACATATGGGGCCCCATCGTCGTTACAGTCGATGGAAAATTCATCATTTATTCTTCCAGCCAGAGGATAGAAGTGGGTTAATGTCTCCGAGAAGGACTTCTTCAGGTGATCGGATATTTTATAGCCATTTTCAAAGGCTGGCGAATAAAAAAGAATGATGGGTATGTAAACTGGAGGAGCTAACTGATCAAGAAGAGAGAGGTTGTAGGTTTTTCGGTTTTGTGGTGCTGAAGAAGAGGGTTTGATAATTTCTTTAGAAATTATTTGCACTTCCATTTCTATACTTTCTTTAATATCTAGAAAGGGTTTGTTGCATTACAAGAGACCCAATCTGAAGTTTATATAGGAAAAATTACACACTGTACTATACTATTTAGGGACTGAAAAATCATCGACTTATTCAAATCAGACCCTATATATCTTAAGGACGGTTGGAGCCCTTCAAGTGCCAACAGTGGCCATACCCTCTCATCCAACCTTTATGAACATCAACATCAACTAATTAGAAAAACTATGGCATATAATACATAGCTACAGGCATTGTTCATGACGTGTAATGGAGTGTAACACCACTCTAATTATAATTAGTCGTTCTTGAAATGCTTAATTATTGCTCGCTAGTATACAATCTCGTGATACATATGAGGACTCTCTCCAAAGACAAGACTACAAGATTATAAGACAAAGTCATTGTTGACTTTGAATTGAAACAAAACGACAAAACTTCCTTGTGGTATTTTAGAACATTTTTACCTTTCTAGATAATATATATATATAGGTAGCTCCTACACTCACGGAGGTCTATGTTTTTATCTGTCACTTTTATCTTCCTTGTGAGGTGGCAATTCCTTATCCGAATCTAAGTTTACTCTTATTTTTTGGTAGATCCACCGAATATAAGTTTTAATTATTTAAAAAAAAATAATCTAATCAAATTGATATAGCTTAATTTTTATGTAATTTTCTTAACTAATACTTTGAAATGGGATAGAGAGTATAATTAAAAAGGAATTGATGGCTCAAGTGTATTTATTCTCAAAAAAGTTATACATATAATTGATAAATTATTTTAAAAAATTTAATTTCATAGCTCAAGTGTGATTTGAAAAGAATGTGTCGGGGCCAGGCCCATGATGTATTGGGCTATACGGGTAAATGATATGAGGTCTGTAGTTCGAAAACCACAGTATTATTTTCCGTCGTTTGACATGCAAGGGAAACTTTTCCCCCGTCGCGGAGTCGTCTGTGAATTTCCGTCGAGTGGAGAACGTGGCCGTCTATATAAAACTACAGGTCATATTATGTATACCGCAGCTTTTATGGTGTTGCTATTCACCTTCTCGCCAAGCTTTATGCAAGCACCATCAGTCTCTTTCGGTTCCATCATTTGATGTTCTACTGTAAATTTTGGCTCTCCTCTGCATTTCTTGATTTTATGATCTGAATATTTAGATGTACAGAAATAATAAAGATGCTAACTTTAGAGGATTGGTGGGAGACCCATTTTGTAGAAGGTGATTTGAGAATATCATAGTTGCTAAAGAAGCAGCTCTCTTTGATCCCGACTCCACGAATAGTATTCCACAATTTCTCAAAAATGTTCTAGAGTGAAGGCATTTTAAAAATTCTTATGTTTGTTAGTTTTCAATTTGTATTACTTTTCTTTTGGTAGATGACCTTTATTCTAAAGAAATTGCCAAGTGAATCAGATTCCATAGTTACTTGAGAATACGGTTTGCTTTTCCATGTTCTTTGTTTTTTTTTTTTTAGAAATCAAAGAATCTATTATCTATATATGTGTTTCTTTTTAAATTCTTATCCGACATAACAGAAACTGAAGACAGCTAAAGAATTCTCACTTCAATGGCTGTAGATGAGTGATCCTATCGCTTGCTTGCATTTTCAACTATTCCAACAAGGCTACTTAACTTAAACCTTCAGGTTCTGTTTTTTATAAACCTTTCTTTTACTTCAAAGTTTGAACCGTATGCTTGTTGTTAATTAGCATATCCCAATCAAATTGAAGTCAGAGTAGTAACCATTGAGTCTCTCAAGTTGCATACTAATTCAAATTTCAGGAAATAAAATATTCTTTTATCTAATTCAAACTTGCCACTTTATCATTTTACAATGAGCAGAAATTCAATTTGACCACAACAGAGCAACAGACAAGCAGATAAACGATATTCATGATTGTGTAATTTTCATTCAGGTATGTTCATGTATTATGTATTTGAAAATTTCAAGGTTATGTAATATAAAAACTCTCTCTTCTTAAACTTATTATACATTCTGTCATGCAGAAAACCTATCTTTCTAAGATAGCAAGAAATATAAGCATGATCCAACATATGAACTTTGAAATTAATGTGCAAGAATTGGCATCATATCTGCAAGAAAAACGTCTTTCCAATTCACCACTGTCAACTCAATCTTGCATATATAGAGTTCCTAGCGTACTTTCAAGCCATAAGGAGCATCTTTTTGAGCCCAACTTGGTTTCAATTGGTCCTTACCATCGATGTAATTTAAAGTTACAGCCTTTTGAAAAAATAAAGTTGTGGTACTTGGACCGTCTTATTGCTCGAGCACCCACTTTGCAGACTAATTTGGAATGCTTCATCCAATCCATCGGGACTAACGCAGAAAATTGCTACAAACACTATTCTCAAGAACTTTATATGAGCGTGGATGAATTTATAGAAATGTTGATTATTGATGGTTGCTTCATAATAGAGTTCTTTCGACGAAAGGAAGGGATTGTGACACCAAGGGCAGATGATCCCTTTTTTAGAATGCCATGGACGATAAAAGCTGTAACTCGTGATTTGTTTTTACTTGAGAATCAAATTCCATTTTTAGTGCTTGAAAGCTTATACAATCTCACCAATACTACTACCATGCCTTTTTCTCAGATTGCATACGATTCTTTACATGAGAATGCACTCAGAAATTACAGAAATCCTCGAGTAATTGTTGATTCAACACTTCAAAACAAGCATTTACTTGACTTGCACCGAAACATCTTGCTTTCTGGGTTAGAACATACCACGGAAGGTAGTTATGAGCCAATTCCTTCTGTGACTGAGCTTTTACAGGCTGGAATTAAAATTGAAGAAGGGGAGAAAAATAAGTTGATGAAGATAGAATTCAAGAATGGAGTTCTGAGAATTCCACAAATAGTAATTCTTGATTATGCAGAATTGTTTTTTCGCAATCTTATTGCATATGAGCAATGTGATAGAAATTTAAGAGACAAGGTCACATCTTACTTTTATTTATTAGACAATCTTATAAATTCAAGCAAAGATGTTGATTATCTGCGTGAAAGAGGAATTATAGTTTGTTACTTGAGCAGTGAAGATGTGTATGGTTTTTTCCAGGGGCTTTACAAAAATACTCATGCGCAGATTTCTCTCTATAGTGATCTTGGACGAGAGGTTACAGATTATTGTCAATCTCATTGGCCTCGATGGCGAGCAACTCTCGCGCGAGATTACTTCAGCAATCCTTGGTCTGTTATTTCTGTTATAGCTGCTTTTATAGCTTTGGTTCTTACTTTCTTGCAGACGCTTTATTCTATTCGCTATCACTGAAGGCAACTCTTTATCCTGTGCTGCTTTCCTTTTCTTTTTTCTTGATTTTATGGTCTGTATTACAAGTTTGTGGTTAAAGTGCTGTATGTACTAAAGTGTTAATGAAATAATTGTTTGTTCAAATACATCATAAACTGTTCTGTTAGTACAAAAAAAAAAAAAAAAGTACAAGTCTTGTTGGTTAAGAGTGCTGTATGTACTAAAGTGTTAATGAAATTAATTGTTTGTTCAATAATACATCATAAACTGTTCTGTTAGTACAAAAAAAAAAAAAATAAAAAAAAAAAAAAAAAAAAGAGCAACATTAATACCGCTAATATCGATTTTCTGTAAGTTTACCAAAATTGTGATCGGTGATCTTGGGCCTTTTTAACCCCAAAAACTAGCTCAAGAGGTGAGGCTTTCACTCACACTTATAATTTGATCACCAGCCTCTCCACAACTGATGTGGGATAACCCAACAATCTCCCCCTCACACATCAGGCCATGGGTCGGAGGAGCAACAACCCGTACTCTCTCGGAAACTGGGCTGAGATTGCTGTAATCTGGACTCTGAACACCAATAAGGCCCGGTGATAAAAATTACGAGAAAATAATTATGGTAGCGGAAAAATAAAATTGTGATACACAGATATTTACGTGGTTCACCCTTAACTGTTTAGGATTACATCCACGGGACAAACTCTGAATTATTCTTCCAGTATTAAAAATAATAGGCTTATAAAGAGAGTATACAAAAATAGTGGCACTCAAAAGTGTTTCCCAAAAATACCCCAAATTATCTTCACTATTTTTCTCTGCCTCAGTTGTAGAACCCTTTCTAAACTCTCTCTCTCTCTGTATATATGTATGTATGTATTTCTTCCGTTGGTGTGATTTAAGAAGCATTCTTCTCCTTGTGGGCATGGGTATGGGCGTGAGCTGTGTACAGTTCATGCAAGTTGTGCATGAGCTGTACGCAGCTCATTTTGCCTTCTCCCTCTCTCTCTCTTTCTTTTTTTTTTTTTTTTTTCCAATATTCAATATGTGTGGGTCCCACTTGAGTGGGACCCACACAACAAATTGATATGTGGTTCGATCGCAAACATGACAGAATTGACACCCTCTCTCTCTCTTTCTTTTTTTTTTTTTCAATATTCAACATGTGTGGGTCCCACTGAGTGGGACCCACACAACAAATTGATATGCTGGTTCGATGCAAACGATGACAGAATTGACATTTATTAATAATTTATCTTAACTAAGCTTAATTAGGATAATCAAATATGCATATATAATGCAATATAGGTAATATAACCTAATATCCCAATGCATTGCTTAGTTAAGTCATATTTGCAACCCTTCAGAACTGTATTAGCAAACCCCATTATTGACTTCCAAATCTTACAAATCTAACTACATATGAATTCTGTGAATGTTCTGATCGTATCCAGAGAAACCATTAAACCATCATCTCCAACTCCTCAAAATCTCAAATGTTTCAAACTTTCCCTGCTAGACCAGCTCGCTCCTGCAGCTTATGTCCCTATGATCTTGTACTATGCACCAACTGCTGATTCCATTGTCAAAAATCAAGAAAGAATTAATCTGCTAAAGAAATCTTTATCTCAAACCTTAACCAAATTCTATCCACTGGCAGGAAGAGTAAAACAAAACCTGTTCATAGAGTGTAATGATCAAGGAATAGATTTCATAGAAGCAAAACTCAACTGTTCTCTTTCAGATATCCTCCGGCGACCAGAGGCTCATATTTTGGATCGATTTCTTCCTCAGGAATACCATTTTCATGTGTCTTCATCATCAACGAAATGCTCCCAAATGGGTATTCAAGTAAATAGTTTTAGCTGTGGAGGAATGGCGATTGGGACAAGCATATCGCATAAACTCGTTGATGGCATTACTTTCACTTCCTTTATCAACACATGGGCTGCAATGGCTAGAGGCTCTAATGATAACCTTTTATCGCCTATTTTTGTCGGGCCTCATATTTTCCCGCCAAAAGATATTTATGGATTGTTGCCTGTTCTTGACATACCAAAAGCCAAAAACACAACAAAAAGATTTGTGTTTGATCTTTCCAAGATTGGTTTACTGAGAGAAAGATTGTTTGGCAATGGAAATTCATCTGTTAATAACAAGAACAATAATAATAATAATAATCTCCCTAGTCGAGTTGAAATAGTATCTGCCTTAATATGGAAATGCGCTATTGATGCCTCTAGAACTAAAAAACCATCTTTCTCGACGCAGACCGTTAATTTACGTGCCAGGATGGATCCACCATTGCCGGAATCCGCAGCAGGAAATCTTCTTTGGCTGGCAATTGCGCCGGCGCCGAGTGATGGCAGTAGCAAGATTGAGATTCAAGATTTGGTGTATCAGGTGCGAAATGCTTTGAAAAAATTTGACACTGATTATGTCAAGAAATTGCAGGGTGAAAATGGGAGTTTAGTGTTAGAGGAGACACTTAAGCAAATAACAGAACTTGCTTTGAAACATGTTGATATATACAGGTTTACTAGCTTAAGGAAATTTCAGTTATACGAAGGTGATTTTGGGTGGGGAAAGCCTGTTTGGATAAGTAGTGCAGGATTGACATTCAAGAACGTCGTCGTTTTGATTGAAAGCAGAGCTGGTGACAGAGTTGAAGCTTGGGTGACCTTAGATCAACAAGAAATGGCAGTTTTTGAGTGCAATCAGGAAATTCTTTCATTTGATTCTCCCACTCATAATTCTTCCTTTTTGCTGCTTAATTCTAATCTTTAGAGTTTGTTTTAAAAATGAATTGATCATTGAACTTGTGGCATGCGATGAACAACGTAAGGTAGTTCTGTCTTTTTCTTGTAATCTCTCCTGCCTATCAAATGAAATTTGAATTTGCAATAATATTTGCAGATGTTTTTTCTTTTCTTTTTTCTGGATATATTGAAAGATTTCCTGAGGGAGGAAGACAATATTGTTTGTCTTGACAAGCATTAGATTTTAAAAAAAAGCAAGTTTTAGATAAAATTACATGGGCTCAAACCCAAATTCTTTTATTTTTATTAGAAGTGTGAATAGTTAAATGGGCCTTCAGCAGTTTAATTTAAGATTGCCCCTGAAACTGATTCAAGCAAGTTCTAATCAAGAAAGAAAAATTGCTCATTCCAAGCACAATAGTACTTTGCGTTTTGCTACCATGAAAGGCTTCTTTTTCAGGTTCCTTGTTCTTGTTAGGTTTTTCAAACTCGATTAGCTTCAACTCATATCCTAATTTTATTTAATGCTTTTAGTTTCTTCGCTAAAAATAGGGTTCCTTTGTGTTCAATATATTTTCTTGCTACAATTGCATGGGAATTAAGGTTGCAAGATTGATATCCCTTTCTCATCTTTTCTTCTTGTGATTGGATGACCTTTTTTGTATATACCCACACCCCAATAAAATTCCTTTCCAATAGTTTCCCTTGGATAAGTCTTCTTTCTGAATTTAAGCTTTTGGAAATGATGTCAAATTCTTGTCTATTACTGCCAAATTGTTTTCCAACGTTTTAAGATGGCAGTTTCCTTAACTCAACTCGAATAGAATTTTAGCTGAGATCGCCTTTCGTTTTCCAAGAAAGAAAGATAAGAAGGTAAACTAACGAGCTAAGCACTTTCTTGTTAGTGAAACTATTACAAGGCTCATACTTTGCTGCATGAAATGTGACCTTCATTCGATTTTATCTGGAAAGCGATCAACTTTGACCTGGAAAACATCAAAATACTATGTCTTCAAAGTGAAAGACATGTGAAAAAGTTTAAACAAGTTTTAAAAACCTAAAGTAGCATTCAAACAATGTACGGAATAAAATGAAATTGACAGAAATGGTGGGTATTGGACTCTAACGTATAGCTCTTGATGCCTGAACAAGAAATTAACAGATAAAGAATTCAAGTTGTAGGCAATAGCTTCTATGAAAACTAAGAACTAATCATAGAATATGTTCTGTTTTACTCGATTAAGCCTTCAATTACCTTTGAGAAGCAGCTAAAATTATTTCCTGTCATTGGCAGGATGAAAGGACTTTAATATTTTACTCTAAAACTCGTGTTCTTGTTGGGTGTTCTACTATGGAATTAAGCACACAGAAATTCTAAATTGAGGAACATCCTTGCTGTCTATTGTTAGGTGATGGTTTCTTGTTACCATGATGTTTAGAATATCCTGGGTCGACTGCAACAAAAACAATAATCCATGCATTACAATCAAAACTTATTATTGTATGCAATAATGTGATTTTAGTTGCATAGAGGAATCTGAGGTTTCTAAATAAATCTCAATATGTCCTGACAAATCATATTTATGTCCTTTCTGAATGTTTTCATGCAAGTCGGCAAGACCAACTCAACTCACAGCCAACTATATTGAAATTTTTAAGGATGAAAAAGAAAATGCAAATTTTCAAATCCTTGAGCAGACAAAGACCTCATTAATTTGTAAATTTGCTTTCCAATGATAGTCAGACTCTGTAACAAACCATGGCTCCAATGAATCAATCAGTTCCCTGATCAAATTTTACTGTTGCAGAACTTATATGTACTTGCATGATTTACAGTTCCCCTTTTGCTTTCCATGCCAAATTGTGAAAAAATAACACTTAAGATAATCTTTTATTGACTGTAATAGAACACAGTGAAAGACATAAGGTTGTGCTCCTGGCTACAAATATTTAATCCCATTGTTCCGGTCGCCTTACGAGCAATCTGTTTAGGTACCCTTTTCTCCCCTAGATTTGCTTTCGAAAGTCGCCTGCTTTAGTCTATTTTTAGGTGGTGGTTCACATCAAATCGTTTATGAATTTGATGACTTGGTGAACTTATCCTCTAAGCTAGATACAGATAAATATATAAGGTAAAACGGTATTAAATTGAAAGACTAGGACATTGCACAAAATGATGCTTATATTGTAAGGTTTTACATTTATTAGCATCTGAATATAAAGTTGTCACCTATGTTGGAGTTCTAGAAGAATGTACAAGAAATCCCATTTCTCTGGGGCAGAATATTAACCGAATTTTTCGATTGCTCTATGTGCTTAAAGTTTCTCTATGCTGGGCTTTTAGGGCGACAACTATATTTTACCAATGTTTTTTTGTCAACTTCTTTCATAATATTTATATACCTTAACCTTGGTATTGTCTCCAGCGAAAAAGAAACTTCTCTATATAAACCAGTTGTGGCTGGTAATTATAGGGTCTTTCAGTGCTTTATCGACAAATCTTTAGGAATAAGGGAGGAGACAGAAAGCAATAGATTTGAGACATGGCTCATCATTTGTTCTCGAGTGAGTTATTTGACGAAGATACAATTCATAGAATGAATAGTCTTGCTCTCAGTCTTTCAGATATGGCTTACTTTCCATACCCTTATTTACCCACACTGGAGAACAATGCATGTATTTCCTCAGATGAAAGCAGAGAACATAAGAGGATTAAGCGAACTCTTAGTTTTGCAGAATCCACAGGAAGTAATAGTGGCTTTTATAGTGTTGGCGGGACAGGAGATATTGACAGTAGCATAAGCCGCAGTAATAGTACTAATAGTCTAAATAGCTTTCGAATGCATCATCTCAGAGATCATATAAAGTCTTATACTCAAAGATTTCTTGCAGCCGAGGCTATTGAAGAGGCTGAGGAAGGTGAAAATGAAGAAGACGGGAATAACGCTGATGGAGTGAGGCTTGTTCAGCTTTTAATTGCTTGTGCTGAAGCAGTGGCTTGTCGCGACAAGTCTCATGCCTCTGCCTTATTGTCTGAGCTTCGATCTAGTGCTCTGGTCTTTGGCTCTTCTTTCCAGCGTGTAGCATCTTGCTTTGTCCAAGGCCTTGCTGATAGACTGTCCTTGGTTCAACCGCTAGGGACGGTAGGTTTCGTTGTACCAATGATGAACATAATGGACATTGCTTCTGATAAGAAAGAAGAAGCTTTACGCCTTGTTTATGATATTTGCCCACATATCCAGTTCGGTCACTTTGTGGCCAATTCATCAATACTGGAAGCCTTTGAGGGAGAGAGTTTTGTCCATGTAGTGGACTTAGGCATGACGCTTGGGTTACCACACGGACACCAATGGCGCCATCTGATCCAAAGCCTCGCTAATCGTGCTGGCAAGCTGCCCAGCCGCCTTAGAATTACTGGCGTAGGCCTTTGTGTTGGTAGGTTCCAAACCATCGGTGATGAGCTGGTGGAATATGCAAAAGATTTAGGTATTAATTTGGAATTTTCAGTGGTTGAAAGCAATCTTGAAAACCTGCATCGTGATGATATAAAAGTGTATGAAGGTGAAGTAGTTGTTGTGAACAGCATTCTTCAGCTGCATTGTGTGGTTAAAGAAAGTAGAGGAGCTTTGAATTCTGTGTTACAGATTATTCATTCTCTTTCACCAAAACTTCTTGTTCTAGTTGAGCAAGATTCAAGCCACAATGGGCCATTCTTTCTTGGTAGATTTATGGAAGCATTACATTACTATTCTGCAATTTTTGACTCCTTGGATGCTATGCTCCCCAGGTACGACACAAGACGTGCCAAGATGGAACAGTTTTACTTTGCAGAGGAGATAAAGAACATTGTGAGCTGTGAGGGCCCAGCAAGGGTGGAGCGGCACGAGAGGGTAGACCAGTGGCGCAGGAGAATGAGCCGTGCAGGATTTCAGGCTGCACCAATTAAGATGTTGGCTCAGGCCAAGCAATGGCTGGGTAAGAACAAGGTCTGTGATGGCTATACAGTTGTGGAAGAGAAGGGTTGCTTGGTTCTTGGTTGGAAATCAAAGCCTATTGTTGCAGCTTCTTGTTGGAAATGCTAAACCACTGCCTTTCAAGAATCAAGTTCAATAAATTGGCCCATGTGGCTTTGTAATTCAATAATACTTTCTGCTGGCAGAAAATGTTGTGTGCAAATGCTCTGGTTTCAGGGAAGTGCAAGGCACAGACTTTGCACTGAAAATAATTACTCATTTTGAGTCTGGAATTTAGCTGTTCAGGAGACTGAACAGATGAAATAAAGGAATTGTATTTGGTTGTTTTTGCAGTGCATATAGTTTTCACATTGTACATATTAATCAACATATTCATTGATTCTTTATTGAATTAAATTGGCACTATTTCAACCCCCAAATTTCTGGTTCTTCATAATCTAGCAGGATGTTAAAAAAGTGCTCAAATGTCTAGCATAAATTCCTGATCTCTCTCTCTCTCTATATATATTTATACAAGAACTCTGGAATCTTGTTCCATTAATTTGTCGAGTCTGAATTTAAAAATTGCTAAAATTTTACAAAAACTTGAACAATCTGTTGCATAATTATCTTTCACAGGGTGAAAAATCTGTTCCACGGTTATTTTTCAGGAATTGAGATCTGTGACCAGTCCTCAGACAACTGGGGCAAGCATACGATTGGTTTGATTCAAATTGAACCGATAATAAAACTTCAGATGTGAAATTGAACTGAATCAAAATCGATTAGATTTTAAATCTGACGAATTAATTTTTATAAAATCAAAGCTGAATCAATAAAAATTTCAGTTTAAATCATTTAAACCGACAATTGAACTTCTTTATGAACAACCTGATTGAATCGAACCGAACTACTCGGTTTTTGGTTCGGTCGATATTTTGCACACCCCTACAAACAGCTATTGTTACAGTCCATCATAAGGTCAAAAAAGGTTGGCCTTTTGTCGTAATCGGTGTGACATCTTTCCTAAAAATTATATTAAAGAATAGTAGAATAATTAAACACCATCGCATGGCGAATTCAGCTACTTAAACTTAAAGCCCTAAGCAAAAGACCAATTTTTGGTCTCGTGGGGGGTTTGGGACAGATTCAGATAGAGAGAGAATGGAAGCCGTAGGTGTAGTTGGTAGTGGTGGACTATGCGTCCCTGCGTCATCCATTAATCGCTCATCAACCCACACAACTTACAGCTTATCCTTCGTCCCCGGCAATAAGCTTGGCCTACGCAGTAGTCACCTAGCAGCATTCCATTCACCATCCCATCTTTTCTCTTATTCCCCTTCACGTCCTTATAATGCTAAGCATCGCAAGCCTACCAAAACCCATATCTTTCTTCCTCATTTGGTTGCTTCCCTGGTATATGCTTTCTCTTTCTTGAATTTTTTTAAAATTGAATTGCTGTCTGAAATTATCCCCTTGACTGCTAATTTTGAGTCTAGGGAAGATGAGAACTGGATGGAATTTATAATATTTGCGAAAATAGTGGCAGCCCAGTTCAAGTATTCATTTGTTTTTTTCTTTATTATTTTCTTAATTTTGTGCTACAGGAACAGGTTGAAGAGACATATATCATGGTCAAGCCTGACGGCGTTCAACGTGGCCTTGTAAGCTTTATTATTATTTTTTTTCTCTCTTAATTGATAGAAAAGTTTATGCTTTGGAATGGTTGGTGAGATTTTTAAAGAATGATTAATTAATTTTAGTGCCACCTTCATGTATTACACACAGTTGATGTAAACTATAGAATAATAAGAATTGTAGAATTTGTAGAATTATAGAACAAATGGTTAGTTATAGGTTTTTCTCAGCAATGAAAATGGTTTTGATTTCTCATTCTAAATTTGTCTTTATGAGATTGATTTATTTTAGGTTGGAGAAATAATCTCAAGATTTGAGAAGAAAGGATTTAAACTTACTGGCTTGAAGCTTTTCCAATGCCCTAAGGAGTTGGCAGAGGTTCGTTGTTTAGAGACATTTATGTTTTTCCATTTTTTGTGTAATTAAACTGTAATCAGCATTTCTGTAATTCTTGCAAGTTGCAAGTATCTAAATGGCTTTGTACCTTTCTATAATATCTAGTTTAAAGAAATTACGAAAATTTTAACTTTCTAATGCAAGTGGTGACGATGACTGATGGTTGACTTTATAATATCCATGTATTACCGTATATCTTGTCATTCTCTAATCAGCAACTTTGTATAATCATAGGAACATTATAAGGATCTCAAGGCTAGACCTTTCTTCCCTAAGTTGATCAATTACATAACTTCAGGTCCAGTTGTGTGTATGGTATGTTCGTTGATTATGTCTCTGCTAAATTCATGGTCTGAAATTTTCTGTAGGATTTTAAATCTTTCTAGATTACTTATCATAATGTTATCTTAACCAGGCTTGGGAAGGTGTTGGAGTTGTAGCATCAGCACGTAAGCTAATAGGGTCTACAGATCCTCTTCAGGCTGAACCAGGCACAATAAGAGGGGATCTCGCTGTACAAACTGGAAGGTTAGCCCAAGATTTGCTACTAGACTGATTTATGTTTGCATTTGGTATTTGCTATAATGGGTTGCGCTTATTTTTATTCTCTTACGATGAAATTATGTGCAGGAATGTGGTCCATGGCAGTGACAGCCCTGAGAATGGGAAGCGTGAAATAGGTGAGGTTTTTTATGCTTCAGATGTACTTGCATACAGCAAATAATCTTCTAGCAGATGGTTTTGGGTCTAGTAATCTAGCCTTAGTAGTTCTTAATCTAAATGCAGTCATTATAAGTTACCAGGAGTTGGTCCATATTTGAGATCTTAACTTAGAAGCACTCAAGTTGACAATAGAAATGGTACATAGGAAGCCAGGCTTGAGGGCAGTAAACATTCTAAACAACAGAGCAATATTCAAAAAAAAAAAAAAAAAAAAAAAAAAAAAAAAAAAAAAACAACAGAGCAATTTCAAAAAAAAAAAAAAAAAAAAAAAAAAAAAAAAAAAAGAGGAAGAAAAGCCCCAAGAGCGACAATCCAATTACTATAGCTCAGCATTCCTGCTTAAGGTTTTCAGTTCTTGAGATCTTGGATGGAAGGTGTTAAAAAAAAAAAAAAAAAAAAAAAAAAAAAAAAAAAAGAGGAAAGAAAAGCCCCCAAGAGGACAATCCAATTACTATAGCTCAGCATTCCTGCTTAAGGTTCTTCAGTTCTGAGATCTTGGATGGAATGGTGTTTCCTTTTCTTTTTGTTCCCTTTTTTTCTAGTAGTATAGGGAATGGGGAGTTTCTTGAGATGGGAGAGGGGTAACTCCCCCCATTAACTAGTCTAAGGCCTGATGCAATCTCATTGATCAATAAAAGAAAGTTAAGGGGGAAAATGTTTCAAATGCCAAGTGGGTACCACTCATCATAGTCAGATTAATGTATTCAACTTCAATTCTTGAAACTCGATGTTTTGCGATGGGACAGTGGTTAGTAAACAAAATAATGGTGGTGCTTTGATATTTTCTATTACAATGCTTGAAGTGATAGATAAATTACCTTTTAATAATTCATGACTTTTGCTTTCCCTGCAGCTCTTTGGTTTAAAGAAGGTGAAATATGTCAGTGGACGCCGGCTTTAGCTTCTTGGTTTAGAGAGTGATTTTCAAAGTACACTCACATGAAGAGATGTTTTTTTTGAAGATTTTTCCTCTGAGCGCCTACATTTTAGATTGGATCCATTGTTTATTTTCCAATTTCAAAATAATACCATTATCATTGCATGAATTTAGATGCAAAACTTATGAGAAAAGCATACTGAGAAAATTCAGATCACTTTCTGCTTCCCATGTACAAGACTTGTCATCTTTGTTCTGATTTCAGTACTCTGGAAGTATGGAACTCATATTCAATTGTGATTCATCAGTTTAGTGCCCCTAAAATTTTTAGAATTAAATGTGCCATTTTTGAGGCATAGATCTTGTCATTTATACGGTGCTGAGGCAGCATCATGATATGAGCTGCACCATATCATTAGGCTTAAGGTTCCTAACGAACGACAATTTGATTTGGCTTTAAACCATTACACAAGCAGTAACCTACCGAAACGAAGGATACTGTAATTTTCCTCCTATGCAGAGATTGCCTGCTAAATTGATTGTTGTTCTTTCCTTCCAAACGATCATGTATTGCCTTGGCGCTGTATGATAAGCTAACCTTTGGAAGAACAAAGATTGAAATAAAAAAACGTCTTTAACTCGTAGAACGAAATTTCTCTTTTTGGGTACATGTTATGTACTTAAAAGGGAAGGCTAAGACAAAGTCGACTGCTGAATCAGACAACAAAATTATTGTTTGTGCCTTTCAACCCAACGCCTACGACTATCAGAAAAATACAAGAAAAACAAATGTTATACATTTTGAGTTTATTGTAAAAGAAAATAAGGTACACAGATCTCACATGTGAAAGCCTGAAGAGGAACTATGGCCACTTGAGTTCAAATTGCTCTTTTGTGCTGCCAAAAGACTGGCAGTTGCTGGAGCTTGGGGAAATACTTGCACAACCATTGCTCTCAACCGTCATTGACTCTTGATCTGATGAGCTTAACGCATGTCGATGACTCTGATATTTTGAAAACAAGTAAAGAAGAGACATATTCCTGTTTCCTTGCTGTTTAGAATCACCTGTAGATTTGCAAGTACTAGTACTTGATAGAATGCTTGAAGAAGAGCTATTGGTATCAATGGTCATTGCGTCCTCATCAAGTGAGGTTACAAGACATTGACAACTTTCTGAGACATTTGTAGAGGTACAAAGATTTGGCTCCACAGAACTTTCGGAACCAGTTGCAGTATTGCAATAACTTTCCATGTCTACTGCTTCCTCCTCAGAAGGTGAAGTTAAATCGCGCTGAGAACCCAGTTTAAGCTTCATTAATGTAGCCTCTGAGACAAAGACATGGGAATTCAATTTGGTAAAACTTATTATTGATCAATTTTAGATGCCCGATTCAAAAGGCCCTAAAAAGGAATACCAATTTCATAAAGAATTACACAGGTTCTCCTAAACTTCAGTTACCAAGTTCCAGCAATGTTGATGATGCTGTTGAAATAAGCAATTATATTTACTTCCCACGACTGAGGAATAAAGATCTTTATAACGAAACAAAATAAATATTACCGTTTTAAGGTTGAGCAACAATCTTTATGAAAATAAATATAAATTCATTCAATTTAAATCTATTACCGTTTCTCTCATAATGGACAACTTCGCTTTCTTTCCAAAAAAGCGAATGACTTTGCCGTTTCTTATTAGAGATGAGTGGCCAGGAAAATGGTAAGAACTACCCCGGTAGGTTGCAAAAAAAAAGAATTTAAACGATAAGTCGTTTTCTACAGGACCCGTTCTTGTAATCCCTAGTTTGCAGACATACTCTAAGAGACATCTATCGTTCATGAGATGTAAAGGCATCGTTTCTAAAACACATACTCTAGTCATCGAGGTCACAAATCATTTACAGAGAACAGTTGGTTTCTAATGGAACAAGAAAAAAGATTGGACTTTGAATTTTCTACCTCCTAGATAGCAAAATATGGAGAAAATCCGTCTCTAATTTTCAATTAAAACCAAATCACACAATAAAAATCAAAATTACCGAGCAATTAGATAGAGTGTGGGAGAGAGAAAGTACCGTAGATGGAGAGAGTATCATCTTTGAAGATCTTGGAAGGTGGCCTCTCTAGGGTGTCGAGTGAAGATGAGGATGGTCGTAACCTTCCAAACATCCTCTATTTCTCCCTCATCTAAGTCTTGGAGTCCACTGGTAGACAGCAAAATAGATGCTATTTTAGGGCAAAGAGGAAGAGAGAGAAAGATGGTTCCTTTTTCGATTTTTTGTTTTGGCGCCATTATTGACTACATGGTAGCGCCATTCTGCAAACAAATCTTCTCCAAGACGCCAACTGTATTTCAAGCTCAGATGGGCCCAATCTCATCGATAAGCCCATTAATTAGACCCATGCATATTTTAACTCGACACCTGGGCTGCCTAGAACTGATAATTGGCCGGTCGTTTATACATCATACATGGAACCGACCTATTTAAACAACGGTAATATAGGATGTCAGTTCTTGAACGACAAAAGCTGAGCCATTGAGCTTGATGTTATCGTTGGAAACTTGAAAACTTGAATCGCATGGTCGTTTAGCTAAAGTAACGACCGAACGTGTGAAAAACGCATCTTAACGGACACATCACGCATGACTTTGCCGTTCTTGTTGGAACTTGGAAAGCTGGAACTATCCAATAAACGAACGACCGGACAACTTTGCAAATGACGCGTTAATTTCTGAACCGGGCCTCAGAATATAATATGGCGTTGCATATTGAAAATGGTTCGTCCGGTCGTTTATTCACAGACGACACGAAATTGTTAAAAGCTTGCATCTTGATTATGTCATGTTTTCTTACAGTGGCATGATCCAAATTTATAGCAAGTAATTTATGCTAAAAAAAATGAATTTGATAACATTAAACTGTAATCGAACTCTGCAAGAGGAACAAAGTGAACTTTGAGAAAAGCTTTGAAAGAATAAGAAACTGTTGTTGACTTTGCAATAATCTGGGTGTGACCCTCCTTTTGTTCCTGCTTCTTTGTCAATCAAGAAAGCATTCAGCAGTAAAGCATTGGAGAGATTATGTGCCTCCAAGACAATGGTAGAGAAGCACAACGCAGAAACTTGTGGTGATAACCATAGGAACTGAAGTAAACAATAGCAGGCAACTATTTACTGATAATATGTTCGATTGATACACTTGCCTATAATTACTCCTTCCAAAGTAATGCTTCACACTTACTTAATTAATAGTCAATTACTCCCTCCAAAGTAATCTTCTAAACAATCGGCGTTTACGAACTCTAGTCTTGAAATCTGCATCTGAAACCATGGGAATTAAAAACGGTTAAACATAGAAGTCACAGGTAGGTTGGCCATCAATAAATGCTTGACGTGTTTTTCCTTAAGCTATTGACGAATCCTCGCTAGCAAAAAGCTTACGTATAAGAAAATGATTGAATCCTAAATGATGATAAAATTATCCCATTTTTACCACAATTTAGTCTTAGAAACCACCTTTTAATCTGCCAGCTAGATACAATGCCTCTTCTGCAATGGGTCTCCATTGTTCTGCACATGAGTAATTGATTCCCAGACCAACACTAAGACCTCGTAAGAGATGCACCGTCCGAAGAACAGAAAATAGCTCCTCTGGGAAAGCCTACAATTGCAAAAACATGATAATAAGAAAATTTTATAGTTTATCCCACCTTTCTACTTTATTATAAGCATGATTAACAGACAGAAAAAAAGACATTTTGACTTGTTTAATAACCACAATTCAAGTTGAATCACAATCTCCATGATAGTCATAAACCACTGACAGTGCATAGGGAATATTATCAAAAAAGCTAGTACATCAGAAAGAAAGATAAGCAGCACTAGCAAACCTACAAGCCTTGCAAAACTACATGAATATGAAATTGGCAACTGCTCTTTTTCACCCTTTCTTCAGGAAAATGAATATTCTCCATATCATCAAGGCACAAAGGTTACATATTTCATGTTTTAGTGAACTACTGATTAATGCTTACCTCAACAGCAATTTTTTTGATTGAAGAGTCCTCTGAGAAAGGCTGCAACATCACTACACCAGGGGGTAGTTTAGTATCGAACATCGTTTGTGCCAACTTAAGCAATTCCTGCAGTTCATTCTCACAGCTGCTCAATGTACCTATGCCAAGCTCTCTAAACAGGAAAAACATCAAAATGTGAACAGATGCACAAAGCGGTCCAACAATTCACCATGATTTAGAACTCAAAATATCGAACACCATGTGACAACTAAACTGCTATCACTATCATCAAAACATATAAGCCTGAATTAATCACATCATAAACCATTTAATTCTATCCAGTCATTCAGTTAAAGATAATATTCTACTATTCGAAACATAGCATCATCAAATAAGATCCCCTATTAATACAAGCCATCAGAATTCATAGCTCATACATGCAACAAAATGTGTCCTGCAGCTCGTAATTTTTTGTTATGGGTTCTGTTTGTCTCAAGTCTCAAATTTAGTTGAGAACCTCAATGAATTAACAAAAACCCATGGCATGAATTAGAACAATGATTAATAATTACCTGTAACTCTCTGATGCTTTTATAGGGTCATTATCAGCCATAGCAAGTACCAAATTAGCATATCCAAGCCTCAATGAATCTGGGAGATCCTTCACTTGCCCATAATCTAGCAATGCAACCTAACTTAAGGTAGAAAGACATGCAATTAAGTTAGTTGCACCTCCAACATAAGAAGTCAATGATCTTATGGAGTGTACCTATTCTCATTTATAGATTTCAAACATAATTGTAATTATTAGGAAAAGGCACAGGCAAATGATAATGCCGACTTGCCTCTGAACCTTTGCAGATTAAGATATTTCCTGGATGAGGATCTGCATGGAAGAAACCACTCTTCAGTATCATTTGCCCATATGCTAGTGTCAGACTTTTAAGTATGTTCCTGCACTTGCAGAAATTTTTAACGGTGTGTCATGCTTTGCCTATTTTTTGAGATGGGGATTGCAAGTTTATGACATTTTTTAAGAGAAGCCAGAGAAAGAGGAAAGAAATTTGTCACGGTGATCAACTAACCATAAGAAGCACTGGAACAAATTTTGCACCAATGAAAATGATTTCAAGAAACCAAATTCCAAATTGCCCCCGCGGGGGGTGGGGGGGGGGGGGAATTAGGCATCATCAACCATGTAAAATTAAGGACAATATGCTCTGAAATAATTTTTCCAAAGGCGAAGTGATCTTACTGCCTTTGCTGCTGCTTGCAACCTTTTACCACGAGGATCAATTCCTCTTTTGGCTTTTTCATTTACCAAGGTTAAGGATTGGTGGATTCCATCAATGTATTCCATCATCAAGACCCTCCAACAAGAACATCCTTATTTCAGTTGCAGGTTACTTCCAAGAGAAGTTAGAAGGACCCAACAGCAATGAAGCAGAGGAAATGAACCAAATAAAACGCTCTCAAAAATTTCTGTCTTCAGGAGAAAATGAGCATCAGCAGGTTTGAAAATAGTTCAATTTAGGGGGGGGGGGGGGGGGGGGGGAGTGTGGAATTAGCATCATCAACCATGTAAAATAAGGACAATATGCTCTGAAATAATTCAAGGACTTACTGCTTTGCTGCTGCTGCAACCTTACCACGAGGATCTATTCCTCTTTTGGCTATTTCATTACCAAGGTTAAGGATTGGGATTCCATCAATGTATTCCATCATCAAGACCCTCCTAAACAAGAACATCCTTATCAGTTGCAGGTTACTTCAAGAAGTTAGAGGACCAACAGCAATGAAGCAGAGAAATGAACCAAATAAAACGCCTCAAAAAATTTCTGTCTTCAGGAGAAAATGAGCATCCAGCAGTTTGAAAATAGTTCAATAAGAAAGCAATCTTAACCATTGTGAATTGAGATTTAAACATGTTAATGGTTAAACAGGCTTACAAAAGAGCAAGCATGATCATGGAAATGAAGGCACTTGTGCTAATGTATAATTACTTTAAATTAAACATAGATAAAACACTCTATCATCAGTAGAATTTTTTGCAAGCAACAGAAAAAAATGCCCATCCACCAATACACGTTGAATCTCACTGATTTATTGTGAGCAACAAGAATCCTTGTTCGCATAATTTTTTCAATGTTGTATACTAACTTCTGGTTGATAATTATCTTTGGCCAAACGTAGAGCCTAACCTCATTTTCCATTTTCCAGTCAAAGCAAGAAAGTTTATTTTTTGCCCACTTAATAGTCAGGTCTATTAGGGTTCTGATTTCAGTTTTGGCACTTTCAACTGAGAAGACTTCTTACTAGTCATGTCTCATGAAAAGTAAGAAGAAAATGCAGAGAAGAAATTATGCTAGATAAGCATAAATTGAAAATTTTATTTATTTCAAATGTTCAGCCTCAGCAGAAAATTACCAGAAGAATGTGTTTAATGTCTAATATACAACTTGAGGAAGGCAACTCTTGAAGCAAAATACTCAGAGTTTAGAGACAGACATGTAGGATTGGATCAGTGGATATACAAACAACCATAAAATAGTCCTACTACTTCCCAAACTTTTACCAAAATTGAAATCTTCCGAATTACATACCTGGTGACCATATCCTTCAACACTCGTGGCACCACAACAGGAGTTCTTTTGTTATTCTCATACAGAAAACGCCGTATTCTTTCCATAGCATTAGCCTCCCTTATGAAGTCAAATTCATATCCAATCTTCAACCACATAAGCAAAATATCCGGAAACATTTAGATTCAAAAGCTTACAGAAAAAAAAAATCCCAGTATTAAGTTACAGTTTCTAACATAAATGTCAATCATAACAATTAAATTGTTTACTTAGAGGAAACTAACAAATTTGATAAATGCAATCACAAAGAAATCAGGGAATAAGTATGTACTACAAAATATTGAGGGGGTAAATAACAGACAACAGTTCCTAGTTCATAATTCAAAACCATGTTTTGGGGAAAAAAAAATTATGCATGAGGCACCAATTAGCATTTTGAAATAATCTTCTTGTCTTCTGAATAGCAAGAAAAACAAGTTTTTCCAAATAACTAACACGGTAACTTTATGTACTGTTCAGAACCAAATTTAGATCAAGAAGACACAAGCTTAATAGACATATTGAAATAAGCAACCAAAAGCATAAGGGATGAAAAAGAACAAGCACAGGAAGAAAATTTAAAACAGTAATTGCAGACACCTGTTTCTCCATTTCTTTGGTCACAGAGTATAGATCAAATTTGATATCTGTCTTTTGCATGTACAAAGCAAATGCTTGTAAATTCCGAATGTCTGTCATCATCAGCTCCTGAACCCCAGGATGTTGCACCTATTATAAAATTGATGGTTAAATTCTTGAAGACTTTATAGTCTTGAAGACTTTATAGAGATTAGGAGGTCACATCAAAGAATGCTTACCTTGACAACAATATCGCTCTTTCCACCTTTCAATCTTGCTCGATGGACCTGATTTGGTAAAAAACATGCAAATTACACACAACTTTAATTTGAAAAGAATTTCTCATTAACATTTAATCCATGCATATCACAAAAGAAGACCATTTTTTCCCACACAACATCAGCATCAGACCTCGTAGAAGTAGTATAATAAAGCTTTAGGGTTCTACTACTGCACTTCCTTGACCACAAATATTGACTTTATGTCCATTCAATTCACTCTTCACACTGTAGGCATTAACAACTTCACTAAGATATTACTCAAAAATATCATTCTCTCTGCATCCACCTAAGAAATTTCAAGTTCGAAAAACAAACTTTATCTACAAAAAATGTTATGCATAGAAGTTCAAAAAATGAAAAAAACTACATGGAAAAACAATGCCACTATTTTTCTTTTCCTTTTGAATTTACAGAACTCTTTGACTTCAAAATTATATATTATTGGAACAAAATCCACTTTCAATTCTTAGTTAACATTGAAAAATAGCAATGTTTTATATTTCCCCTTATGCCTTGAAAAATAAAACTGCTCTAGAGTATGCCACTATAAGGAAGGATGTCTACTTTTCTCGCCATGTAACAGGTTTTAGAGGAAATGCATTACCTGTGCAATTGAAGCAGAACCAAGAGGTTCTACATCAAAACTTTCAAACATTTCCCCAACACTTCGACCTAATTCTTTCTCCAGCATTAGTTGAACGGTATCAAATGGTGTTGCAGGAGCTCTGTCACACAAGGTAACGAGCCTTCTCACCCATGCAGCTGGAGCCAAGTCAGGCTTCCCTATGATCTGAGCAATCTGATTTAATCCCATTCAAAAATTGCAAACGTTTCAGCAAAATTAGCAAAATATAATCATAAAAATGGAACTTCCCCTGAAACACAACCAAAGGAAACACGATTGTCCCCGAAAATTAAATTGGAAAACAGAATAGATACAAAAAAAAAAATAAAAAAATAAAAAAATAATAATAATACTGAGCTTATGTACAAAGAACAAATTAAGAATAGCATAACAGAATTGAGTCGAACAGATTAAAGTTCCCACTTTGCAGAAAAAAATTTAAAGAGCAAAAGGATTAAGTCCATTTAAACTGTACCATTCTCAATATATTGTTCAAGATAAAAGCACACAAAAGCAAAAGGCCAAATAAATTTAAAATCTTTATTACCTTGAGGAAGAACCCACCAAGATCAGAACACATGGCATAAATCTTGTCAGCTGCCAGCTCATGCTGCCTTTCCCACATTGCTTCCTGCTTTTGCACATCCTTCACTAAACTAACTCGGAGTTGAAACACCTACCGATACCCAAAATCCTATCAAACAAGAAACTCATGGAAATAGAAAGCCAAAACAAACATGCAGAAAAGGATAGGACAGAAAAGAGGAACCTTGTAGCCAGTATAAACATCAACTGCGCGAACCCAGAACTGAAAGGACCGTTGCCAAGGCCTAAAGTGAAAGGAGAGCTTATCTTGAATGTCTTTGAAATCAACAGGAGGCGGCATGGAGTTTGGTGTAATCAATTCAATCAAAAAAAATCTTAGTCTTTCTGTACTTCACTTTCTGGGTCACATGAAAGAATGTGAAGCGCAAGCAACGTTACCCAAAAGAGAGAGAATTAGAGCTGGACGATAAATGTGAATTGTGGCTGAGATAACAATGACTGGTGGACGAATATGGAGTGCCTGTGTAATGAGAGGAGACGTTAAAAGGCGTCAATAGAAGTAATTGCAAGGCTTGGCTTGTGGGATTGTTTCCTTTTTTTTGGAAAAGAAAACTTAAATCGTCAATTTTCTACCCTGTTTCGGTAGCTGGATAAGTTCTTTTCTCTCTTTATATCTACATATTTTTTTGGCTTCTTCAACCTTTAATCAAGCTTGCCTCTTTTTTTTTAACACTCTTTACTCTTTATGCAAAAACATTTTTAAAATTTTAAAAATGAAAACGTAATATCATTTTAAATACATCTTAAGAAAAGATTAATGCCCGATTTTTTGAATTTCATATTTTGTAACTTTTAAATTTTAAATCCACTATATGTTTTCTTAAAAGCCCCGGCATAGTGTTCTTTTTTTAGTATATATTGAGGTGATATTTAGGTATTTAAGTTTCGAACCTCTGATTTTATAGAACATTTATAATCATATAATAAACAATTATCTTGTAAATGGATTATCATCAAGCAAAATAATTAAACTTCTTGTGTTTAAAAATCAAATAATTTTCAATATTGTGGAGTAATTTATTTTACACTAAAAGCTAAGTAAATAAAGTCAATTTTTTTGTTTTTAATCTTGTGTCTAAAATTTTAAATTTCAAATACTTTTGATATAAGTTGAAGGGGAAAAAAAAGCCGGTCAAAATAACTATTAACGATGAATAAAATTTACAAATAACTATCCTGTAAACTGAATTTTCTATCATTGACATCATGAATACATTTTCATGATGTCAATAGCACGTGAAATTGGTGTGTAACAATCCGTATTTTCCTGTGGCTGGGATTTGGCAAGAAAGCCATCCAAACATGGCCTACCATGCTTGTCTCCAACACTACAGCAAAAGGAGGAAATTGCTGGAAAAAAAAATTACAGCTATCATCATGCTACTCGACTGCATGATACTTGCAACTTTCTAACACACTAAAGGGTCCTCTCCTAGAATGTGGAACAAGAAAGAGCATTCGGTGGCCTGAGATATTGAGTATTGAGAGAATCTCACTTTTCCCGCTGCTGATCTTAAGGAGATATTTCATGATCCGGAAAGAATTCAAAAACGGTATATGACTGAAAATAGTTAGAAAAAGGTGCAGCCTCAGCAAACCACTTGCTAACAAATGTGATGAAATACACCAGCCACAGCTGAGAATGACTTGTAAACTGGTGCTTTTGATTCCATAATCCGTGCGCAGTAAACTTAATAAGGAACAGAAAAAATAAGCAACACAAGCATTTGTATAAAAACAGATAACTCGCATCTGAAATTAGCGATAAGCTTCAATTCTTAATATATTTGGAGAAGAGTGAATGACAACATCTCAACTAGCATCGGATTGATCAAGTGAAAAACATCCAACAAGGAGTCCCCATGCTCCATTTTCTTTGGAACATCTCAAATTTTGGCGTCATTTGTAACTCAGGAAACACCTAATGCTTCACAGATCAATCACACGAGATAGCTTCTGGATCCGATGCTTCACAGATCAATCACACGAGATAGCTTCTGGATCCGGTTTAATAAGAAGTCTCCTTGCTTGATAGTGGCTTGGTACAGAGCATTCTTTGCATCAGGACGGTTGGTTTCAAGAACACCAGCAACCTTGTCAATCTTGCAATGAAGCTTCCCTGCTGCTATAAAACGCGATACTTCCCTACAAGTATACACAATTTTGATTTGATGAAGAGTTTTCTTATGTCACAACCTAGAAACATCCCAGTAAGTGAGGAGAAATCCAAAACTTCAAACACTTACAAATCAATGAAGTCTGCTGTCACACCAAAAGCCTTTGCCATCGATTCAATAGTAACACTCTTATAGGATTCCAAAAACTGAGAATAAACAACAGTTCTGACCTCCCTCATGTAATATCGAAAGTGTGGATGCAAATAGCGGTCAAGTCTAATTTGCTCTGTGAGGCCAGCTAAAAAACAGAAACCCAAGAAGAAACCAAAATGAGACATACAGCCCTAATAAGCAAGGAGTGAACTAATCTTAAAAGGAAATACTCCCATCATAATGGCACAACTGCCACAAATGACTGTATGATAACCACAGTAAATTGCGGAGTTCTACATACTACATAGAACAAGAATCAAGACCTATAGTAAACCAAATTATCGGTAGATTGCCACTCACCAAATGCTGAGAAAAATGACTTGTACTGGCACTCATATAAAGAATTTAGAAACTCAGAAAGATATGGGATCTTCCCAATCACTGTCAAGATCTCAGGAGCATCAACAACCTGCCAAATTTACTTAAAATTAGTAGTAATAGAAAGTGCAGCAGAAAAATACAAGATAATAAGCCAAATCACCCCTAAAAATACCTTTTGCTTCAGGGAAACTCTATCCAATGATATAATGCTTGTAAGAACAGTGTAAAATATGAAGGTGTCATAAGGAAAAAGTTCATAGGTAGTGAAGGTTGAAATAGAATCCAAAAACAGATTAGCTGCCTTCTTGAAATTTCGAGTGGACATGCAATATAAGCCCTCATACACCTTCAACCGGTTCTTCCTTTCCCAATCACCTCCCTCTTCAAACAAGCTGACATCAAAGTAAAACGCATAAACAATAAATGCTAGGAAAGACAACCACAACAAAATTGTTATTTGGAAAATAATGTTGTACTTACTTCTTTGCTTTGTCAATGCTCTTGGAAATGAGATCAAAATCCATGTAGAAAAAGCCAAGCTGTAAAGTATAGAATACCAAGTCCATCTTTTGCCCAACAGCAACTGTCTTGCTTTCTGTCACTTTCATTTGTTCCAATGCTTTTTCCTGGGCTCAAAGAGGAGCAGTTGAATACATAAGATATCATTGGTAGAAGAGACAGACAACACTATACACACAGCTACTTATAATTCTTATTCACCTTGTCACCAATTCGAATGAAGAACAAAGATTTGGCCAAATGAGCTTCTCGAACTTCACTTTCACCCAAGTTTTCTTCAGCATCAGCAATCCTTACAAATACAACCAGGTAAATGCATGTTATTATGAGTAAAACTAGAAAACAAATTATTTACAATAATATATCCAGAAAACATAGTAGGTGATGAATTTAAATCTACAAAGATATCTTAATTAACAGGCAAGATTAAAATTGCATTGGAAAAAAAAATGAAAGAGAGCAATGAGATAATTGTGTTAATATGCCCTATCATCCCAGTAAAGGGAAAACAAAAGGTAAGAGATAAAAGATAAAGGAGAAAAAAGATGGAATGAAGACCAATTGTAATAGTGACACCAGATAAGCTCGTAAATTCCAAATTTCAAAACATATGACAGTATCAATTACAGTTGACACACTTATTTATGGTACTAGTATCATCTTCAAGTTTTAGCATTATCCTTACATGATAAAACATTGGCCTGTATACAAGCAAGTGTTCATCTCAACAAAACAGTAGAAAAACGAACAAATTCATGTTGTAAAACTACTTGAAACAGAAAATCTATTTAGAAACCAAGGGTGAGACGACAACTGAATATCCATTCGAAACTAAAACCAATTGATTAGAGAAATGGATATTCAGTTCATTTTCTCCAGATCATTTTCTCAATTCTGAAACACAAACTTAAGCTTGTTTGAATACAATTGGATCCCTCAAAACATCCCATAATCACTCAATAGATTCTCTAAAAAAAGATATCTCCTTTAAAGCATGTCCTAATTTTCAAAACAAAATCTTAGTTCCCTTATTGGGTATCCTTACTTGATCCCTATAACTTGTGATAGAAATTGTCCACAGCTCAATCAGACAGTCACACCCTCAACAATTTTTAACCCAATTGTGCTGCATGATGAATACACTCAAATAAATGTGTGACCATCAACCAAAGAAATCCCACTAAAATTTCCAGCTCTAATTATCCCTAGAATGCCAACTCTTGGACTCATCTTGCATTGAAATGATAGAACTATGCCTCCAATCAAATGACACTTCAAAACAATTAAATCAGAAATTCCATCAAAATAAAGCACAGATAGCTCTCCTTAATCTAGCAATTTCTACAAATCTGTATATTCTCCTCAGACTAAGAAAAAAACAAGAGTTGGCAGGAAAAAAGAGCAATTTTACAGTAACAATATTCAGTAGCACCAGAGACCACTGATAAGCAATTTATAGCCAAACACTTACCTTGGGCCTAAAACTTAGTTTTGAGCTGAGCACGCATCAACAACTGACAATTCAATCAATAATATTAAGCCAATTTAGTTAATTTGAATTGAACATACCTCAATCAACCAACAAATCAATCGAGGAATAATGTTAAAAATTGAGCCAAATCTGATTAACAATAACCTCCCACTAATTTTTAGCCTCATCAACGTATAAACTTAGGCAAGCTTGCGAGTTTACAGATGCTAGGTTATTAACTCGTCATGAGAAATCCCAATCTAGATAATCATCCTCCATGCGGCGAGCAACAAAATTTAAATGCCTCTTCAAATTGAAACAGCATGCAGCAAACACAAACAGTACTCACTTCTCATCGAGCTTCTTGAGCTCCTCCTCATTCTTGGCACGCATCGAATCCAAAACGCTCTGATCTTTGTCCAGTATTCCTTCGGCCATTAGGGTTTCGTACAACGGCGCCATATCTACACAACAGAATCGACGATAAAACTTAAGTTAGGTCGGAGTTAGCTCAGAACTCACTAAGATGTGACCTATGAGTCGGTAAGTTACCGTCGTCTTTGACGGCCGCGAAGACCTCCTCCTTGAGGCGGACCTTCTCAATGTCTTGAACATCGGGGTGAGTTAGGAGGAAGCGCTTGTGTGCGAGCACGAGGTGCGGTTGCTGAGTTCCTTCTTGCCCTTCCATTACGAGTGACTCGGTGAGCTAGATTTGTTAGCTTCGTTTTTTTGGGGGTTTGCTTGAGCAAGGAGAAACCGAAGCAGAAGGCGAGACTGCAAATAATTTGATTTTAATTTTCCTGGTCATTTAATACTTTGAAGGGTTGTGATCGTATGCTTCTTAGAGTAGCTTCCGCCAGGGGAAACGTGGTACCATCCCAATAGTTTTGGGTGAATTACTGTTTAATCCCTCTAGTTGAATAAAATCAACCACTTAATCTTTACTTTTTAAAAAATATATATAAATGATCCTATGTTTTACTCTCATTTAATTAATAGATACATTTTTCCATCCAAAATTCATAATTTTTCTAATTATTAATTTGTAAGAAAAAGATTAAAATAATTTTTTTATATTTTTATTATATTTTTTATACCAAAAGCAAAAATTAATTTTTATTTGTACTTATTTTGCATAAAGGATATAAAGTTGTATTTGTCAATTTATACATTTTTTTTTGCTAATTTATTTATTGAAAATTAATGGCAAAAGATGTAAAATTCGAATGAAATTATAAAGGAACAATTGTTTAGATCACCATGAAATTAATTGTTTAATTGTTTAATTATAAAGGAACAATTTAATTTAATTTATTTATGGATTTTTCTATTTATAAATTTAAAATATTTTTTGCTAATTTTATTTTATATATTAAATAAATCTGAATTTGACAATGAATGCGTAACTACGTGTTGTTAGTAGACTGCGTCCTTCGGAGCACACGATCCGTTCCACTTCCACCCATTTAAAGTGGACTGGTACAGTATCCAAATTTTAAAATGGGTTTGGAGATCCATATTTCTTCAAACCCGATACCGTACTGAGCCGTACTACTCAGTTGTCACAACTTTCAACCCTTTGCGCTCGATGTTCCTAATTATTTTTTTTTTAAGAAAAAAAAATTAAGTACCAAAACGAAACTGTCATCTTTCGTCTAAAGAGAGAGTTTCACAGTTTGCTATTCTCGTGATTAGCCATGGCGAAGAGAAAGCGAGAAGTTGGAATTCTTCCAGTTGATGTCGATTCTTCAATATCAGGTAATCCATTCACGGTTTCTATTTTTTCTGTCACTTTCAGCAAGGATCAATCAAGTTATATGGTGGTTCAATTCCCTCGTTTGGTTCTCGAGAAAACGAAGGAAAAGGAAGGAAGGTTTCGAACTTTGTGTCGTGGTGTATTTTACCAATATTGAATCTTCCATTATTCTTTAGAAAGATTCAAACTTTTCCCTGCTTGGGGATTTTATGATGGGAGCTTCATCCCTTTTTCTGTAAAACATTTATATTAAAATTTGGAATCCAATTACATTTGTCTTTTTCCTTCTTTATTGGCCTTTTAAGTTGGTCCGGGTTTTAAACCCTCACTCCTTGTCTAACACATAGCAAGTTATATTGGGAATTTATATAACTGGATTTTGTGCTCTGCCAGAAGCCTATGCTCGAGCGTCAAAACATCGCTCATGTTGGAAACATATGTTTGTGAGCTTGTACGCTCATAAAAAGAAGATAAGTAAAAGAAAAGCTGAAGAGTTGCGGAGGAGCTTTGAGTTAACATCCAAGTGTTTTTTAGGTACCTTCCCTTCTCGTGAGCGATCAAAGAGGAGAATTAAGCACAAGAACAAGATTGCAAAAGTAATTAAAGAAAACAAAAGGCTAAATAGTGCAGAATTTGATTGTTATTTTCAGTAAGCTTTCACATCTAGTGCGCTACTGTGGTAAAATAAACTTTAAATGATTAATTTGTTGGTCCTGTTCACAAAATTTTTGTCTAAATTGTTTAGGAGTTTATGGAAGAGCTTCCCGGAGGATAAGAGGACTTCCTTCACTTACCTGGATAGCATGTGGTTTCACTTGTACATGAAAGCGCCTTTTAAAGGGAAGGTGCTTACATGGATAAAGAGAAAGCAAATTTTTTTGAAGAAATATGTTCTTGTACCCATTGTTGGCTGGTAAAATTTTTGCATAAGCTTGGCCAATTAATTTCTTCTTTCTTGTTTATCTATAGTATTTTAAATGTTTGAAATTGTCATCATTTTAGGGGTCACTGGAGTCTCTTGATCTTCTGTCATCTTGGTGAGAGTTCTGAGTCAAAAGCCAGAACACCTTGCATGTTGTTGTTGGATTCACTTGCGGTGGCAGACCCAAGACGCCTTGAACCGGATATAAGAAAGTATTACTCTTTGAAATTAAGTTATTTTTTCTCGCCTAGTTGCTTAATTGTACATCAACATGTTCTCTTTTCTTTCAGGTTTGTATTTGACATTTATAGATCAGAAGGTAGGTCTGAAAATAGAAAGCTGATTTATCAGATTCCACTTTTTTTACCGAAGGTAACCTCAACCTCTACCTCAATGCAAATTATATTTTCAACTATTAAAATTTCAACTTAGATATGCTTTTGAAATACTTTTAGGTGCCACAGCAAAGAAATGGTGAAGAATGCGGCAAGTATGTTCTACACTTCATAAATTTGTTTGTGCTGGGTGCTCCAGATGATTTTAGCATCAAGAATTACCCCTATTTTGTAGGTTCTTACAGTTGCTTCCTTTGAACTTGGATATATATATACACACATATTAACCTTACTTTTTTAATTGAATGAGACTGATTTTTCTGATGCAAAACAGATGAATCAGAACTGGTTCAGTCTGGAATGCATGGAGCGCTTCTCAGAGGAACTGGAATCATTTGGAAAGTGATTTGTCATAACTCTCTTTTATAAGTTTTCCATATCTAATGAGATATGAATGATTTTCTGATTTAAATTATAGATGCCAAGATATACTTCTGTTGAAATACATTCACCGTTTATAAATATTTTTCAGATTCTGGAATCTGTTTCTCCTTTTTCAGTCCAATTCTTTGTGTTGAAAACTTGGTACTTGTTCCTATTTTTATATGTATCCTTTTCTTTTCTTACTCTCTTCCATGTTTTTTCTGTATGAATGTGTTTATGAATGCATTATTTGATGACATTTTTATCGAATCTGAAACTGATATGAGTGTGATTGTAATAAATGCCAGAGTTTTATGTCCAGAACAACAATAATGGCAGTAACAATGTCAATTTAACAGCAAAGCATCAAGCTTCAAAGTAAAAGTATGAAGGAACATTGTAACTTCATTGCAGTAATAAAACTTTACACATCGACAATCTGAAAACAGTTGAGGCTCTGATAAAAAACACTGGCTAGTGTATTTATCCTGTGTGACATATATAAATTACAAGCATCCTTGATATTAATAAGATTGGCAATATCTCTATTTTTACAGCTTTTCACAACTTTCTTATGAAACACCATGCGCTGCGACTTGATGGCTATTCAAGTTTTGAAAGAAAAAAAAAAAAAAAAAAAAAAAAAAAAAAAAAAAAATGTATGAATGTGTTTATTGGAATGCATTAATTTGATGACATTTTTTATCGAATCTGAAAACTTGATATTTTGAGTGTGATTGGTAATAAATGCCAGAGTTTTATGTCCAGAACAACCAATAATGGCAGTAACAATGTTCAATTTAAAACAGCAAGCATCAAGCTTTCAAAGTAAAAGTATGAAGGAACATTGTAAACTTCATTGCAGATAAACTTTACACATCGACCCAATCTGAAAAACAGTTTGAGGCTCTGATAAAAAAAACACTGGCTTAGGTGTATTTTATCCCTGTGTGACATATATAAATTACAAGCATCCTGATATTTTAATAAGATGGCAATATCTCTATTTTTACAGCTTTTCAACAACTTTCTTATGAACACCCACCATTTGCGCTGCGACTTGATGGCCTATTCAAGTTTTTGAAAGAAAAAAAAAAAAAAAAAAAAAAAAAAAAAAAAAAAAGAGCTTCTTCAAGGATTTTGGGTAACTATACATTTATAAAGCATAAAACTTCACATTTCAAAATGACCAAGAATCACACCCTCTCAAAGCTAGCTCAAGAGGAGTATTGTCCCAAACCTTAATTTTTTGAATAATAACATTATCCCACAACCAATGTAGACAATAAAGCGTAAACCACAATAAGATATCAGTGTTACTAGAAAAAAAAAAAAAAAAAAAAAAAAAAAAAAAAAAAAAAAGAGCTTCTTCAAGGATTTGGTAAACTATACATTTATAAAGCATAAAACTTCACATTCAAAATGACCAAGAATCACACCCTCTCAAAAGCTAGCTCAAGAGGAGTATTGCCCAAACCTTATTTTTTGAATAATAACATTATCCCACAACCAATGTAGGACAATAAAGCGTAAACCACAATAAGATATCAGTGTTACTAGCAAAAGACGGAAAAAGGGATGGTTTTGGATTATGGAATCACCAATCATGTATGGTTTGTAAAGTTAATACCACGTGGTCGTCAAATGAAATATTGTTTAGTTTTTAAGTATTTTGATAAGGGCACACGTACATGTCCGATACTCTAAAAGTATCGGATATTTTCAGATTTTTCTTTTTCTTTTCTTTTAAATGAAATGAAATCATCAATTATGTATGAAGTGTAAAGTTATATTATGCAGTCGTCGAAAGATATAAATGTTCAGTATTTAAGTCTTTGATAAGGGCACATACATACGACTAACATAGTGTATTAGATATTTCATAAGTTTTCTTTTCTTATTTTCTAAATTATATCGAATCATCAATCGCTTATGAATTGCAAAATTAATAACACACAGCGATCAAACCACAGTTACATTCAGTTTTTAAGTATTTTTTATAAGGATACACATACATGACTAACAGAGTATCAACTATTTCCTGGTTTTCTTTTCCTTTTGGTTTGTAATCACATCAAATCATCAATTACATATGAGTTATAAAGTTAATATTATCCGGTTATCGAACCACGTAATGTTTAGTTTTTCAGTGATTTGATAACGGCAAGCACACACGATCGACACAACGTATTGGATATTTCCTGATTTTTCTTCGTTTTTTATTAAACGACATCAAATCATCAATCGTATTGACGGTAAAGTCAAGACCATACGAATGTTTTGATAAGGACGTGCGTACGTGACCGATACGGAGTATCGAATAAAAAGGAAACGACAACGGTGGAATGCAACGTTAACATCAGGCGGTCGTCAGGTATTGGCAAAGAAAACGGCAACGGATCATCCCCTTAGTTCATTTTCTTATATTTTCCTGGATGCCTCCAGTATCCTTAATTAATTTATTATCAGAAAATTTTCAAATTTTCAGAGTTTAAATCAGTAGGCAGAATGTTTGCATGCTACGGCACCATGTATATAGTGAATGGAGTTTTCATTAAATTGCTACATCTCAATTTGGGATTATAGTTATTAATTAAAGAGGCTCAAACGTTCAATCACAGTCCATGAAGTAACCCATCTCCGATGTACAATTGTGAGTTTTGGTGGCTGGTTGCAAAGAAGAGCTGCAATTCTTTTACATATATAAACTGGCATATAATTGATAATAGCGTACCCGGTACCAAAAATAAATTGTAACTTGCAAGAACTTGTATATTATAAACAACCTAGAAACTGCACAAAACGACAGAGATCAATTCATCCAGTATTCCGAATTTGAGTAGGGGATTCTGATTGTCCCCTTGGACAAACTCGAAGGAAAACCAATATTCTTTGCCTTCAATGAACTTTCTGCAGCTTCTAGTGCCCTGGAAGCTTGAAGGGCCATCTCAGCATGAAGTTTGAGGCATGACATAGCCATCTACGACATGAAAGCACAACTTTAAAATATCTTTCAAACAACAGTTCTATAGAAACTATCAATCAACTAACTAGGAATACAGAATAACATAGATCAGGAGAGTCTGAGAATAGAGACTTGGAGTTCCCTGCTTACCATATAGCACTCTTTATCGACATCAGTCTCCGCTATGTTTAAGGCCAACGTGCGAATCCATTCAAGCCCATTAGAAACTTGAAGGTTTCCTTCTGTTAAGGCTGATGCAACATAGGATGGATGAAGTGACACCAATATACAAGAAGCTGCAAAAAGGACGGCTCTTCTGACATATGCTTCTTTATGATGACATATCTCCCTGCAAAAGTTGGTACCTTTTCAAGTTATGCATAACTTATGATTTTACCCAACTGCTAAGCATGTGTTATATGGACGCAAAGGTGTAACTGTTATTTTCACTAGCACAAACCAGAAAGCACGCACCGAACCTTTTGGGGGATGTATACCAAAAAAAACTACCCTTCTATTCTTCTTTGTAACAAAAATTTCACATGAAAGTTTAATCATTTACCTGGATCTCAACATATCTAGAAGATGGGGAGCCAAATCATTTGCTTCTGGATGCATGGAAGCAGATCTCATACAAACACCGAGCATGAAGATGAGTTTCCCCAGGACAATAAAATCTCTACCAAGCAAGTCAACACCATGTCTTTTCTTATCAAAACCCTGCATGGCAGGAAGCATAAATGCTGCTGCATAAACAGGAAACTTGTTATGGGTCCACTCCAACTGGCTTTCCTGTATATTTGCAGATCTGAGGCTCCAACGATGAGTTTTTCCTCTTCTGTTTTGACTATCTTTAGTTGGAAGTTCTCTCTCATAACGATTAGAGTAGTTTAATAAAGTTCCTGTCTCTGATACCTCTTTCCACAAACCAGCACCTGGAGGTCCTGAGCTACTAGGCAAGAACCAGGGTTGATTCTCCGATATTGTTGATATAAGGACCCTTGATTGTTGTTTAGGTTTCATAGTCTTAGAATCAGCAAGCTCCTGTGCAGCTTCAGTCATTACATCAATAATCATTATGCGTTGGCTGGTGTCAACATTTGGGGAATATAACAGTTTGTTAAGAGCATCCACAGATTGCAAAGGACATGTGACAAGCAAGGCAACCAATGCTCTTTGCCTCTTTTCTTCAGCTGATTCTTCTTCGCCTTCAACAGCCAACTCAGAGCAACGAACTTGTACAAGGGTTCTAGCAAGATCACCGGCTATGTGTGTAAGTTCATCAGGGGATGCTCGCACAAGCTTTTCAGCAACATCAAGAGCCCTCTCAACCTGCAATGTGAACTATGAATCAATAAACATGCAAACGAAAGCTTCTTTTGCCATTCTTCAGGAAAATAATTAAGAGCCTCAAAAGAATTAACTTCCCTCAAGGCAAATATGCGCTGAATCTAAAAATGCACTGAGGGGTTCCAATCGTTTCCTAAATGTTAATAAAGCTTACAAGCCATTCGAAGTCAGATTTTGAGCCAAATTGAAATTATAATTTGCATGAAATGTATCTAAAGACAACCTTTGATGAAATAATTGATCAATGATCTATACTAACTCACCCCATCAGCATCATCAGATTTCCGTAGGGCTCCTACCACATCAACCAACTGTGTAAACTTTTTTTTCAGATCTGCATCATCATCTGTTAAGTCATATGGCTGTAAGGACGAATCACTGGCAGAATCAGAATTCTCACTTGCATCATCAGCATCATCCTCATCTTCACCAGATACTACTCCATAATTTAGAGTAGCTGGATCAACAATCTCATCTGGATCAACAAACTTAAACTGTGATGATTTCTTGTTTTTGCACATTCCATTATTTCTTGAATACTTTAAGTCTTTCTCTGGCTCAGAGATGCTCAATGTTTTTGCTTTATCACTTTCCTTTGAGGTAGGCAAAGTCTTCATCTTGGGTTTAGTCAATCCAAAGTCCCAGTCAATAGTCTCCTCAATGCAGCTATCATCAAGATACAGAGGATTTTTGGGGTCAACCACTTTAGAGAACACTAAAGCAACATTACTGGCCATTTTCCGAACTAAATGAATAGGGCTCTCTAGCCTACCTGTCAGCAACAAATACCCGGAATAAGAGAAAAAATATGAAAGGTTCATAAATACTCAACAAACAGTGAAGAACAAGGATCTACAGCTAACTCCTTGAAGAATTGAGTGCATCACATCCTTAGACTTATCTAGATCCTCTTTAGACATCTGCTCCATGCAAAGACCTACAGCAGCAGTCACATCTGTATACCAGATTAAGGGGCAACAGAATCTGCAAACAAGTAACAGTTAATAGAAAACTAATTGCATGGCCTAAGACATCCAGAATAGGCTGGGATCAAGATGATGGTGAAATAGGTGTTTCCCTTTATGTAAAACAAGACTACTCCTGAGATCTTACAACTCTCTGTTAGAATCAAGTTCCAACAATATCATGAATTTCAACCAGAAGAGTCAAAGAGTGAAGAAAGGATACAAGCTTGCTGCTCTATTGGGGCTGATTGCACAAACTCCGTTTTAGACCATACTGCTACCAGACGTTGCACTGTATCTAAGAGAACATTGGCTTCACGACCTCTAATAAGAGAAATAGCAACAGGTGGACATTCAAGCACAGCAAATTGAACAATCCATCGTAGGCAACAAATAGGAAATACTTTCCAAAGTATAAATTTATCAACAAACATAGACCTGCAGAAAAGAATGAAAAAGCAATTGAAATTTATCGTCGAAGTCTCGCTGCAATGTCATGTAATTGAAAAGGACATAAAAGGGTATGCATATTTGCTGACTTGACAGGTGGCTGATTTTTCAAAATTCGATTAAACAGTATCCAAAGAGTCCAGTAAGCTTCAATATCAGTTGCATTTTCCGTTGCCATCTGGTGCAAAAGCTGTTCAGACATTCTTTCGACAGCATAGGGATCTTTAACTGCTTCCATCATCCTTAACCAAAATTGAGATCTGGGATTTGTCTCAAACACTTCTTCTGTTACTGGATCACAGCTTGACAAGCACCATTGAACATATCTAAGAACCTGAGGAATTACTTCACCCGAAAGCACATCTGCAGGCATGTAAAATAGAAAGTTTCCAAATAAATTCTAATGACATTTTATGAGCAACAACTAAAAGAGTGGCCTGTTGAGAAACAGATTTTCTGGAGGATATTCCCAAATAGTTCCAAATGTATTTTTATTAGGAATCTTATACACAAGTATTTGTTAAGAAGTGACACAAACAAATATAATCTTACAGGATTGGATTTTTTTAATCAGGTTGATCTTGGAAGCTGAAGCAAGAAAACCATGTGACCATAACAGAGCCTGTATCTTTTTATTTGTTATCATAAATCATGAAGAAATGATTAAACAAGGTGTTTCAGAAAATTGGAAAATGGCAACCAAAATTTTCAACCAGTAGTACAATGCAGCATGCATTTGCTTTTTGCTCATATAAGCTAAAAGATAACTTAATCAGGAAGGATGATTTCCTTAGTAAGGGCAACATGCATTACATGTAGCTCAAATATTAATTTCAATTACTTTGCTTGAAATAATTAAATTACCTGAAGAACCACGACGGCATATGCGAGAAAATGTTTCCCCAACAAATAGCATTATACCATCCCAGTCACTCTTGTTGAAGATGGATCCCCTATCTTGTAGATTCCTGAACCTATCTTGCACTTCATGCAGGAGTTGAATAGTAATCTGCTTGAAGAACAAACTATAACTCTTGTAAAGGGAAAACTAATATATTAAATTTATGTATAAACAGCATAGATTGCGAAATCCCTTTATACGAGCAAATGATACGACATGCAAAAAAGTTAAGAAAAACAACATTAAGCTGTGGAAACACATACAGACATATTCATCATATGTTCTTATATGCAGCATATGGAAGAACCTTGCGTTTTGATATTTGATTGGGGTCCTAGTCAGGTTTACTAGGAGTCGGTGTTCCAAAACTCACAAAATAACCAGCATAAAAGATTAGAGAATAAGGATACTGTGATGAGAGTGAAGTTGGGGCTTTTGGTCGTGCCTTGTCAGGAATAGATGTAACAATCTGTGCCACCCTCGATACAACAGACTGGAGTTGTGTGTTTGTCAAATTCACATATTGGTGCACACTGCCGAATTCTCTGGCAATTAGTGCTGCTCCATCATTTTCAATCAAGCAAAGGAGAAGTAACCTGTCAGAAAGTAATAAGTTTTCTCTGAAGTCAAAAAATATGCCAACAGATGGATCATAAGTTTTCTCTAATGCAACCTAAGCTAGCTGAAAATAGTGGTAGAATTATACTGATCAAAATGCTACTGCAATGCCTCTTATTTGTTCTTTCAACAAATGTAGAAGATTTGAAAATGAAAATTAAGAGCTTCTTTGGTATAAATGAATTCCATAAAGTTCTATTAGAATCCAAATTTTCATGTTTGGTATAAATGACAAATCATTTGGAATTCCCCATTTTTAATTCTATAGAATTGCTTATGCTTGGACCAAATTTTAGCACAACCAATAGAATCTGCAAATGATTCTAAATGTAAAAGGAAAGCAAACTACAAAAGCCTAAGTACAGTTATTAAAGCTATATATTTAAAATGAATTTTGTGGTTAATCCAAATATGAACATTCACTTAGAAACGATTTCTTTTAATGAAATTCATTTGCAAATGAAATGAACTTCACAAGGATTCATTCCAAAAACTGTAAATTCATGAATGTTGACGAGAGCTTTTTACAAAATGAAAATTGAAATTAAGAAGGTTTAACTAAATCTTAAACACACTTTCTAAGGTTGCGTTTAATTTTTCCTTTTCTTCTCCTTTAAAAGTCCAAATCTTCAATTAGATCAATTATACAAATTGAACTAAAAGTATCATATAGAAGATGTCCTGGATGACTAGTAACAATACCTTTCAGAATTTGATTGGACAGCATGAACATCAAGAGTATCATTTCCATTTGGCTGTAAGCAAGGAACTAAAACCTGAACAACTTCCGTGGAAAGTCCATGAACAAAGAAAGCATCGTATACATGTTTTTTTGCTGAGAAAGGAAAACAAGCTAACCAATTGGAAGCAATATCTGCACAAAAAGCAATTTATATTAGCAACAATGATAACAAGCAGTCGATCAAGAGATACATTAGACACCAATATAGCAGTGAACGTAAGCTTGACTTGCAATGCACATTGCATCTATAAACAGAATTACCAAGCAATAGAACTCGAGATAGTGTTGGAAATGCAACTCCTCTGTAGAATGCTTGCCACCATTCGCCAATCTCTTCAGCAGAGGGGACCTTAGCGCTGAGGATTTGGTCTCTGTAACTCTCATCAAGACAACCTGCAAATCAAATAAACAGATAAATACAATCAGTATCCAATTAACTTAAATGAATTTGATAATTTTAAAAAAAAAAATTAAAGGGTGAAACATACCTACGACTAGAGAGGAATCTATAGGGAAGAGAAGAACAGCAAGAGAATGAAGAGCGCAAATAACTTGGTCGACGTGTTTGGCAGTGTTTATTGCTGAGATTACTTCTCCTACCTTGTTCAGTATTCTTTTGTCTATCTCTCTTCTCCTTCTCTTTGCATCTTCTTCCATCTTCTGCTACCAATCTGCTTTATCCTACTAAAAGATTTGCTTTTAGAGCCCAAAATATCAATGGTCTCGCCAGTTTTAGAAACTCAAAAGACTGTTGAAATTGGTTATACGTGCAGAACCAAGGATTTGAGCGGTGAGATGGTCGAGTCAGATCACCAGCCAAGACGAGGAAATTGACGACATCGTTTAGATGATGCATAATCCAGTAGGATACAACGCTGCGTACTTGTATGTATATGACTTTGAATTAGCGAAACGACGACGTATAACTACAGCGTTACCACCCCTACTCTCTTTACCTTTCGCTTTTGTACTTCGCGTGGGAACTTTTGAGGTCTCTCTCTCTCTCTCTCTCTCTCATATGGCAACTGCAGCGATTTCGCAGCCCGGAAAGGTGCCGCGACCGGGGCGCGGCGGGTTTCAAGCTCATGGTCTTACGGAAGAGGAAGCCCGAGTTCGAGCCATAGCAGAAATCGTCAACTCAATGGTCGAACTTTCGCGAAAGAACCAAACAGTGGACCTCAACGCTATCAAATCCGCCGCCTGCCGCAAATATGGCCTTGCACGAGCCCCAAAGCTAGTGGAAATGATCGCTGCTTTGCCGGAGTCTGACCGCGACTCGCTACTTCCCAAGCTCCGTGCCAAACCAGTCCGCACCGCTTCCGGAATAGCGGTCGTGGCCGTTATGTCGAAGCCGCACCGGTGCCCCCATATTGCGACAACTGGAAATATTTGCGTTTATTGTCCTGGTGGACCGGACTCAGATTTTGAGTATAGTACACAGTCCTATACTGGTTATGAACCTACTAGCATGCGCGCAATTCGAGCCAGGTAGGTTGTCTAGTAGTAAATCAAGTGTTAAGTTAGCATAAAAGGATAATTAAATTGAATTTGATTTATTTAGGAGTTCAAATTCGGGGCAGCTCAAGCGTTAATTATCGTATATGTATAAATAGTGATATGCTTGCCCGTTATGAACTATATTAGTATTCAAATAATTATAGTCAATTACATTTTTTAATCTTCATATTGTATAATGGGTTGCAGTATTTGGTTTAACTTTCTGATAGGTTGTAATGCTACTTGCATATACGCAAACCAAAACTATAAATGAATATAATGCTTCAAAAATTTCGAAAATTCCTGTTCTTTGTAGTCAATACATTTACATTTTCACATAAACTAGCGGAGACTGTGAACTGTGTTATCTGGTGATTTTAGTAGTTCCTAGCTTGTCATTGCATTTTTGCGGTTCTGTTCAACCTTGCAGATTTTTGTTTTAGTTCCTTGCTGCATGTTTTCATCCATTCATCTATCATGCATGTTTTCTTACATAAATTTTGTCTAATGGATAGAGTATGTACTTTTTAAGATTTAGAAGTGCAATGCTAAGTTGCTTGGGAAATATCTCAGGCAATAATCGAGTGAATTTCATTGTTAGCTTTTCCAGTTTTTTTGAACTTTTATAGCTTTGTTTCCTTCAATTTTCTTGTTTTATGTATATATTTACTTCGGTGTCAGTGCAATTATCTGAAAAAAGTAATAGATTTTGACTTCATCATCTGTGTACAATAAGCTGATGCTCTATTATATATGTAATGATGACTCTGTCGTAAACATTGATGGAATACTCAATCTGTTTACTCATAAATATCTTTTCTAACCAATCATAAAGGTTCGACTTGTCTTATTTCTGAATAATTTTTGCTTGCGGTTGCTTTCAGTTTTTTATTTTGGAAGTAAATTGCTGATGTTTTCTTGATTTTGGTGTTTACTCTGATAATCATTGAGTTGATGACATGCTTGCTTTTTGGTTCCAGATATAACCCATATGTTCAGGCTAGAAGCCGGATTGATCAACTTAAGCGATTGGGTCACAGTGTAGATAAGGTTTTGTTTATTATCCACTTTTACTTTAGTTGTCCAAAGTGAATGCATTAACATATATGCACCATCTTCACCTGGTTTCATGTGTGTGTATTTTCAGGTGGAGTTCATATTGATGGGTGGTACTTTCATGTCATTGCCAGCAGATTACCGTGATTATTTTATAAGGAACCTTCATGATGCCTTGTCAGGACATACTTCTGCCAATGTTGAAGAGGCAGTTGCCTACTCTGAGCATGGTGCAACAAAATGTATTGGCATGACAATTGAAACGTAAGTTATTGTATAAATCATCCCCTCAAAAAGGAAAAGCTTTTAGTTATTGTTTGAATTGTATGAGATGTATATTTATTTTTCTAATTCTATGACTAATAGTGCTTAGAGTTATATTTTTTTTTTCATTGGAAATACTCTAGGTGATATTCTGAGAGAGAGAAGCCTAATTTTTTCCCTTTTTTTTTTTGGCTGCATTTCATCATTCTTAGTTCATATAAGCACATGATGATTTGTGTGATGTAAGTGGGTGGGTATATGGCTTATTCTGGAAAATTGCAATTGGTGACTCATAATTGTATTGCACAAAACTACAGGTTGTATAAAGTATCATCAGTTATATTGTTACTATTGTCGGAACATAGAGCATGTCTTGCCCTGTATTTATGGTTAAAAAAAATACTTCCCCCCGACCCATTTTGTTTGTTTGTTATTCCTTTTTTGGATGTCTCAAAATGTTTGCAAGGTTTCTAAATTTAGATGTGTAAACAATTATTTTTCCCATAATAACCTTTATGATTGTTCATTAAATAAATGACTTTTATTAATATCTCAATGAGTTAAGGGTAAAAACGGCAAAATAACTTTTGTTGATTAAATTATTAATATGCGTGTTTTGTCAAACCATGCAAACAAAATGGGACGGAGGGAGTATTTGGTTTTATTTACAGGCCTGCAATGCATCTTTCCATTGTTGGAATAAGTTTATGCTAACTTCTTTTACTTTACAGGAGGCCAGATTATTGTCTTGGACCTCATTTGCGTCAAATGCTTTCTTATGGTTGTACACGATTGGAGATTGGAGTTCAAAGCACATATGAGGACGTTGCCCGTGATACTAATAGAGGACACACAGTAGCAGCTGTGGCTGATTGTTTTTGTTTGGCAAAAGATGCTGGTTTCAAGGTATTATATGCAAACCTACATAGTTAAACTTAATGAAAGTGGGAATAAAACCATGGCATGCACCTCATTTGATTTCACCCTAAATGGGGTTTTCCAAATGTTCACTTTTTCACTTATAGAATTTGCTGGTTTTTCAATGATGAACCTGCTTGTATCGTCATATATTACTCCTATAATGATACTTTTCATAAAAGGTGGTTGAAGTACTTCAGATTAGTGTTCTAGTTGTTTTATGCTTTCCTGTTCCTGTTGATCATTATTTAATGTTTCCTGTGGGTTGTTTAATCTCTATTTTTATTGCTTTGCTGTAGGTCGTTGCTCATATGATGCCTGATCTGCCAAATGTTGGTGTTGAGAGGGACTTGGAAAGTTTCCGGGAGTTCTTTGAGAGTCCTTCATTTAGAGCAGATGGGCTTAAAATTTATCCTACACTTGTAATTCGTGGAACTGGGCTTTATGAGCTCTGGAAAACTGGCAGGTATTATTCCTATTTATTGCTTAATCTTCTTTCTGCCTTATTCATTCTCTCTGTGACGCAAAATGCAAAATTAAATATCAAGGCAACTATGTTGGACCTAGGTTCAATATGGGCTTAGTTGGAATTTTGTTTAGCTATTTTTCCCTTGTTTTATGATAGGTAATGATAATCTATATTGCCAGGCATACACTTCTATGCATCTTTTTGTCATCCTCATTGTTTCTCACGAGTGAGATCTTGCTAATTATCTCATTTTTCATGGCCAAAAGTAAATTTTATCGATTTTGCAAACGCAGGGACATATGTGAATATGTGATCAATTATTAATGCTTTGCTATTGCATGTTTATTTGGAAAAGCTGGTCTCTGGTTTTGAAGATGGATGTGGTGTAATACAGTGTGAAAGCATTAATTATATTGACTCATCTTGCAGATATAGAAATTACCCACCTGAGCAACTTGTAGATATTGTTGCACGGATCCTAGCCATGGTACCCCCTTGGACACGTGTTTATAGAGTTCAGCGGGATATTCCTATGCCTTTGGTCACATCTGGGGTTGAAAAAGGAAATCTTAGGGAGCTAGCTTTAGCACGAATGGATGACTTGGGCTTGAAATGTCGTGATGTCCGCACACGTGAGGCTGGAATCCAGGTAAGCAAAAGGAGTTATTGCGACATTTTATCAGGTGTTGTTACTAGTACTTGGAACAAGTTGAGATTCTGACAGATGCTTCTGTAATAAACATAGGACATTCATCACAAAATTAGGCCAGAAGAAGTTGAGCTTGTTCGCCGTGATTATACAGCAAATGAAGGTTGGGAAACATTTCTGTCATATGAGGATACGCGGCAGGTATGTAGGACACCTTTCCTGCGTGCATGAATGTGTGTTTGTTGGTGGAAGGGATATTTGCAAGTCCTCTGACGTTGTTTATTAGTAATCACATGTGGACTGCTGGAAAAAAAAAAAAAATTTAACCTCATGTTTCCTAGACTTGTAGTTGCTTCTTGATTGCAGCTTATTCCAGAAGCTTTTGCTTGCTGAACATAACATGGACTAGAAAATTCTGTTTGGTTGCAGGACATCCTTGTTGGCTTGTTGCGATTGCGAAAGTGTGGTCGCAATGTTACTTGCCCAGAGCTCATGCAGAAATGCTCTATTGTTCGTGAGCTCCATGTTTATGGAACTGCTGTTCCTGTTCATGGGCGTGAGGCAGACAAGTTGCAACATCAGGTAACATACGAATACTTTTTAAAGATTAGTCTCCTATTTTTCCCTTATTCTTGGACCGGAATGAGGTGGGAATTGTTCTGCCTCAGTAGTCAATGCGATCCGGTTGTTAGGATGCTGTTTAAGTGTCATGATAAATGTTTGAACTTTGAACATGGGACCAAGCCTGCATCTAATTTCATGTGTTATTGAAACGATCTTCATTTTCATTCAAAATTTACATATTTTCTTCCCTTTCTTATTCTTATTTATCGCGGCAGGGTTATGGTACATTGTTAATGGAAGAAGCAGAGCGGATTGCTCGCAGTGAGCATAGATCAACTAAAATAGCAGTCATTTCTGGTGTCGGAACGCGTCATTATTATAGGAAATTGGGCTATGAGCTTGAAGGCCCCTACATGGTTAAATGTCTTGCTTAATTTTAGACAGCTCCTGATGTTGTGACGTAAACAAAATTTTGTAATTTATTCCTCAGTGTTAGTAGAGAATTTTAGCATTTTCACTTAAATCATATGTTTGTATATTTTCAGTTTATCTGTTATCTGAAAGGGGAAAAAAAGATGAAGTTTGTTTATTCAACCACTCTACTTAATGTAGCTTAAAATTGTCGTCTCGGTTCCAAGTTATTAAGAAAGTCACACCTGGCCAGACTAGTGTGAAAATTTTCATTTTCCAGTTATTTAATAACTAATCAGGAATTAAAATGTTTGCTTGCTATATCAGATTTCTGCCAGTTTTTTGGGTTACTGGAATCTCTGTATTACCTATTTACTGGAAATCTAATATGTACAAGGACACCGTTTAAAATGGTCCTAAACAATTCCCAGGAAGTCAAAAGTTGGGAACAGGTAAGGTCGCATGTTAAACTTCTCAAGTTTCAATTTTTTTCCTCTACAAATTTTTTGTGCGTTCATTGAGAAAAATTATATAAGCACGCGGCATCTTGCTCACACGGGACCTTGAAAACTTTTATTTGAAACTCTTGAAGCTTTAATTTAATAGTTGAATCCTCTTTCAATCGAGTTTGAATCGTAATAGAGTGATGCTGAAATCAACCTTCACTCCCATTTTCTCAACCTTCCCTGCCAAACTCAGTGCACTTCAAAAGTTTCCACGTTTTACAACGGCCGCCAACGCATTCACGCAAAGCACACCACCTATTCAACAAAATTCCTCAACCGCTCCTACTTCAGCTTACGTCCACCTCCCTTTCTGTCGCAAACGCTGCCATTACTGTGACTTTCCGATCGTTGCTCTTGGCTCTGCTAACCCAACTGACGCCGACCCTCGGATCTCCAACTATATAGAATTGCTTCTACGAGAAATAGTCTCAACAAAACCAGAATTCGATTCCCACCCACCTCTTCAAACTGTCTTTTTTGGTGGTGGCACGCCTTCTTTGGTGTCTCCAGGTCTCGTTTCCTCCATTTTGGATACGTTGAAAAGGAAGTTTGGGCTCTGTGAAGATGCTGAGATATCCATGGAAATGGATCCTGGGACCTTTGATGCTGGTAAAATGGAGGAGTTGATGGGGCTGGGCGTGAATAGAGTGTCATTGGGAGTGCAGGCTTTTCAAGAGGAGTTGCTGAAATCTTGTGGGAGAGCACATGGAATTAAGGAGGTTTACGAAGCAATTGAGATTATTGGATCATGTGGGGTTCAGAATTGGAGCATTGATCTTATTTCTTCTCTTCCTCACCAGACTCCACAAATGTGGGAGGAGAGCTTGAGACATACAATCCAAGCACAGCCTAAGCATGTCTCTGTATATGATTTGCAAGTTGAAAAAGACACAAAATTTGGAATCTTGTAAGTCTAGTTATAAAACCCATTGATGAAAATGTTGGCTGTTGCCTTCGTAGTGATGTTTTTGCGATTCATATTCGGTGTGTCTGCAGGTATTCACCAGGAGAGTTTCCCCTGCCATCAGAAACGCAATCTGCTGATTTTTATAGAATGGCTTCGCGGATACTTTCTGATGCTGGTTACAGCCATTATGAAATTAGTAGTTATTCCAAGGATGGATTTGAATGCAAGCACAATTTTACTTACTGGAAGAACAAGCCTTTCTATGGTTTTGGCCTTGGCTCCGCTAGTTATATTAATGGACTAAGGTTTTCGAGGCCAAGAAAGATGAAAGAGTACATGGGTTATGTGCAGAATTTGGAGACTGGAGAAGTGGATTGCTGTGGGAATAACCATATTGATGCCAAGGACATGGTCATGGATATTGTGATGCTTTCGCTTAGAACTGCAAGAGGCCTTGATTTGAGGTTTTTTGCAAATGAATTCGGTGGCTCCCTTGTTTATTCTCTCTGCAAGGTCTATAAACCTTACATAGAGAGTGGACATGTGGTTTGCTTAGATGAGGAGAGAAGGGAATTGACTGCAGATGAATTGAACACGTTGTTTACGCATGAAGAAGATATTGCAAGTCGACTAGGTTGTATCCGGCTCAGCGATCCAGATGGTTTTCTGTTATCAAATGAATTGATATCCCTTGCATTTAGGGTCATAGCTCCATAGAACATATGGGATTGAACCAGGCAGATGGTCTTAGAGGTTGGAGATGAGTTCTTAACATAATTGGCTCCATTCATTCTTTGCTACAACACAAAGCAGATTATCTTACTGTCACTGAGAAACAAGGTGTTAATTTCACTATGCCAGAATTACTGGTTTTTTAAAGTATTTAAATGCATAATATTCGTTCACAGGTTCCCAGGTTCTTCACGAGAAGGCCTTATTGGAGAATTTACCAGTGAAAGTGAATCAGCAAATTGTGAGGTTGAAGATGATTTGCTAACATACTCATCTTCATTACTGATTTCTGGGTGGCCTTGTTTAGCAAACAAGAAAGAGCAGACTACCTTATAGTCACTGCAGAACAAGGTGCTTTTTATGTTAGATTTCAGGACACAGTATTGAATAAGCAACAAGAGGGAATTAGACTAGATTTTCAAGATGATTGTAAAAGACTGAAAATTGAAGCATGTATCAAGATAATTGCAACTAATGTGAAATGTCAACTGTTAAAATTAAAATTACATCGATTTGGAAAGACATTTCTATTCCCCCTTGAATCCCAGTGTAGCATCAATCTGAAATGTAAAAAGTAAAAGCTAAGGCTATTACAAAAATGTATAGGAGTATCTTCACATTTTCCCATCTCAAGGACTGAAAAAGAAGCTGGACGCTATTTCACTGGAGTCTAGAGATAATACAACGCCAATACAAGGTGATTGGAAATCATCAACTGAGACCTTTAACCGAGCCCTCCGTTAATGCACATGATTTTTGATGGTCTGGGGGTGGACACCTATGAATATGCCTGCAAGAAGACTAAACTTTGCTAAATTTCCATTAATACCTTGTATAAATCTACTTCCTCCGATTGAGGCATTAGCTGACAGAAACATGAATTTACAGCCTCCTTATTTCCATGAATGGAAATCAAAAGTTGCATTAATCCAAAATAGATATATCAGAAAATATTGAAATATTATAAGATTGCTAGAAAAAAAGCCTCTATGAAGGCTGTTTGAAGTTTGAACCACTAGCTTGAAATCCAGTATTCACAGTTCCAACCAAAAGTTCAGGATCATGATACCATTACATGAGTCCACTGTTTTAGTTATTAAAATTCTTTTCAACTTTGGTAATCAGATAAGGAAGTTTCTCAAACAAGACATACAAAAGATTTACCTCTGAATCACGATGGTTTTGTCTTCTGGCCAACTTTGGGTATTCGCCTCAGCTCTTGGGTTCCCCGCCTCATTTCTCTGCATGCAAACAAAAAAACTCGTGAAAATGCTCCCCTAAACTAGGTCAGTTTCAAATTTTAAAAAACTAGAAATAGTACCTTTGATACAAATAAACAATAAGATAGAAAAGAGGCAGCAACATCAAAGTCAGTATTGAAATAGCCAGGTAGAACACACTCGTTTGCTTCTGCACAAATTGAAAAGATGAAGAAACAAATGTAAAGCATTGAGCATCTAAAGCAAATGGCAAAAATACGATAAGAAACAGACAATTTAGAATTATTTTAATGGTCTATTAGAACAAATAAAGAACACAAAAGCCAGGAAATTTTGAAACTTTGAGCATTTAAAGAGAAATTTGCAAGTTACTGTTAGTGAGTTCACTCAACCTGGTACTATATCTTTGAGCTCTAAAGGTCATGAAAATTTTTTAGGCTCTGTTAAACATTTTCTTAACAAGTTTTATAGATGGAAAGTCGAGCAAATCCCTCTACAAGCTTTATAATCACAATATTACTCTAAAGTTTTCTCTACTGAATATTTGATCTCTTATGCAACTCCTGCACCTGGGGTAAAGCATTACCTGGCCACCTTTTGGAAAATATTTTCTTTTTCCTGAACAAGTGTGAGCATCACAGAATTGGCGCAAAAACAATTCTACAAATAAGAATGTCAACAGAAGTAAGAAATTAGTGCATACAACAAATACGCCTTTTTAAACAAATGAAAGAATTCAGTCAGTATGATAACATCAGACCGTCACAAAAGTAAAAAAGAAAAGAAATTTATCTCATTGATTTGAAAAACTACCATGCAAACGGCTGGCTGAAGGACCCTGATTAATAGGAAAGCAGTTATCTGCAAGACTCTGTGCAGGAAAGATTATTAGTGCAGGTGATTGTAACCAAGAATGCAACAAATATGGCAGTCAGCAATGACCTCACAAAGGTGGCGATTCTTTGCAACAGCTGCTGGATTGCATTTTGTTTTTGGTGATTTGGAATTTATCACAAAATCACAATGCAATGCCCCACACAAATCAGCCAAGCACTTGCCATCACTCTGAAATCATTAAAAAGAAACAGTCTTTTTGTCATAAAGTAAAGGTCTCAAATCAATTTCTTTCACCTTCCCCACCAAACAAAAAAGAGGGAAAAAAAAATCGGTGTATCCAAAAAGCATCAACCATAAGATATGAGTAATGCTCATAACAGAATGCGGGTCCAGAATCCACATACAACATTCAAAAGATTGTAATGCCTGCTGTCAAAATGCTGATCAAGGTATTTCTCAGCGCGAAAGCTCTTTTTACAATATCCACACTTCCACTCAGTTATGTCTAGGTGAACCTTATGCTGCTCTTGGTCCCTGAACAGATCATTGTCGGGATGAAGTCTACACTTCCGTGAAATCTGGTACTTTTCCCGTTCCACAAATGGCATCAAATACTGTACAAATACAAACATAAAATATCATCGAAGTTTATATCACACGGCATTTTTTCAGAAAATTGCAATTTCTCTTCACCTCATCTATAACTTGCCAGGCAGCCCTGCTTCTTTCTCTGGAGCAATGTACTTCATGTGCATGGTTTTCTTGCTTAATAGTTCTAAACAAAACAATGATGAGATTGAGAAACATCAATCCAAAAGAAAATTGAATAAAACTATTCACCAAATACAAGAAGAGCATCAATATTGTTTATAAAATCACCAATAAAGCAACGCAAGAAAGATAAAAAGAATATATATATAATTGAATCAAAAACTTAACCTTTCATCTGCGTGTTCTCCAAATTCCTGGCACAAATCAATAAATTCTAGCGTAAGCTAATGCATTTTGATTCTAGTACCAATAAAGGAAACAAAATAGAGCTCAAGCAAAAAAGTTATTACGTAATCAAACAAAATTAGCTCAAGAAACAAGAATCTCAAGGAATCAAACGCAATTTTTAAAAATTGTCTTTCAAATTAAATGAAATCGTTGCTTGATCAGACCAATCTCACCGAATGATTTAGATCAAAACAAAGAGAAGTCGAACAAAAATAGAAATTATGATTCAATACCTTAGATAACGTTTGCTGCAGGAAATTTGAAATCAATAAAAGAAGTAGAGTTGTTGCTGTGGCTTTCTTCATCTCTCTGTCCAGTAGAGAGAACGACGTTTTCTGCTAAATGCTTCGGCCTGTTTGGCCACCAGTGATTTCATATCCTAGTCCTAGTTTTATGATCGGCGTTTTGCTTGTTCGAACCAAGGATGCCGTGTGTCCTGAAACTAGAACACTTAATGGACCATCTTATTTGAATTTGGGCTAGAACTTTACGAGTTTCTGATGACCATTCGGGCCGAAAGCCGAATTGGCACTCGTGGAGGGTTTAAAGGGCGCTGATACACAGCTCGAATCGCATGTGCATCCGGCTATTAAAAAACTGTTATTCACGGTTCCCTATAAACAGGTGATGAAAATTCACCAGCCACAGCCAGGTGAGCCAAGCCACATTCCCCCAATTTGCAAAAACAACAACTAATCCTGATCTCTAGGTGACAGTTGTTCCATTGTCGTTTGTTCACAAATGGACTTGACCTTCTCGGTATTGTACTGTTCAAGTGATCTTCTTTAACTTGAATTTTCTTGCTATTAGCCAACAAAGAGAAATTAGTTAAAAAATATAGCGGTTTTGGAGCAATTACTTCCTCTTGATTAGGAATTTTTTAATTGGTTATTCCAATTGCAATACTGCCGAAGTAAATTACCAAATATCCACAGCTGAAGGATTTTCCATTGAAAAAAAAAAAAAAAAAGAAAAGAAGGGTAATTTTGTTACTTCTCTATATTTTCTCTCACCTTTTTTTATTTTTGCCACTGTTTAATGAAAAAAACAGAGAGACTATTTAGAGTGACGGAGGCAAACGTCAAGGTTGCCTTGGGTATTCATAAAAAAAAAGAGACTGCTTAAATATTTTCATCATACCTTAGGGATTAAATAATTAATATCCCTATAAAAAAAATATAATTATTTTTATATATTATGATGTACTATTATATATATGTACTATTTATATATAATTTTACCTGAAATATCCAACAAGCTGAAAGGATTTTCTATTGAAAAAAAAAAAAAAACAAGAAAAGAAGGGTAATTTTGTTACTTCTCTATATTTTCCTCTCACCTTTTTTTTATTTTTGGCCACTGTTTTAATGAAAAAAACAGAGAGACTATTTTAGAGTGGACGGAGGCAAACGTCAAGGTTGCGCTTGGGGTATTCATAAAAAAAAGAAGACTGCTTAAATATTTTCTCATACTTAGGGATTTAAATAATTAATATGCCTATAAAAAAAATATAATTATTTTTATATATTTGATGTACTATTATATATATGTAACTATTTTATATATATATATATATATATATATACTTATATATGATATATAATATATATATAATATATATATATATAATATGAAAGCTGTTATTAAAGGGTTTTCCGATTACATCCTCCAGCCCAGTTTTAAGTGGCCAAGAGAATCAGTAGAAGAATGTTGTGATAGATGGGTATGATATTTCCGGCTAGAACAAGGATTATGTGAAAATGTATGGGCGATCGGAACGAGATCAAGAAATATGGGAAAAATGCAAAGAAAATTTTTTTGAACCACAAAGATTTATGGATAGCAGTATAGATTATAAGGGGCAAGGATTCAATGAGTTTGTTACGCATTTGGAGCTGGGTTAGAAGAATCTGCCCAGGCATTTCATTTGATCAGCAAGTGGTTTGGGCTTGCTTTAGGCTCAACTACTTCATAGCTCTGATTGGGAAACTTCCTGCAAAAAGTAAAAGCGCCTGATATTAGATAACACAGAAGCTTTTGGTATAATCAGTGCACAGAACTTGTTCATCTGCATGTCATTGCCAACCTCGCTTTTCCACTAAGCCAGAAAATGAGAAATGCCAGTTGGAATTGTAATTTTTTTAAAGTATTAGCATACTGTTTAAAATAAAAATGTCAAGGAGGCAGTGGTGTCTTGAGGTTCAAATCATGTTTACAGGGAAGAGTATCAACAGTGCGGATTGGTTAGCTCATTATGGAAGTCAGCTTCCTTTGGGGGTTCATTTACTTTGAACGCCCTCCCGAATGGGCATTTCTTCATTTGCATCTTCATGATATCAGTGGGTGAAGCTGCCCTATGGCTCTTTGTTTGCTTAATGTTACTGTTCTTTGTTTGCTTCCTATATTCAAAAAAAAAAATAAAAAAATAAAAATGTACTTTGCCTTTGTCCTATTATCTCTGTACTTCTTACTCCACATTTACCATCTAATTCCATCTTCGCCACCACAGAAAAGAAGAAAATTGATAGTACAAAGGCTTATAAGCTTTCATAAAACTGGAGTTTAGAAGAAAACATAAAGTAAAAATAACAAATATGGCATTGCAATCTAGGTTAGCTTAACTATTAGCCAACCAAAGATCAAACCCAACCGAAGAATACCTCCCAACCCACTTGTTGAGTGAAATTAAAGAAGTTGTATACTTGCATCAAAGGCCATGATTGGACCGATTTGAAGAAGGTGAGCCTTGCAAGTTAAGTGATTCCTTTAATGGAATATAAACGTTATAAATGCATCTATAATTATGGCCATATTTCACTTTTTGTATAGGATTGTTTAAATGTCTCTCAATATTTTGCTTGTTTTTGCTTTTGATTTTTTTTGGTTGCTCCAACCAATTCATTTGCTTGTCATGTTTATAATTGGATTCTTGTTTTGGCTGTTGTTGTTGTTGCTATATGTTTTATATCCAATTTTTATTGGAGAAAGCTATCCACACTTGTTAGTGTTTTTTATTCTTAATTTTCTAGCACTCCGATTAGCGCCTGGCCCTTAGTTTTGGAACCTGAAAGTAGCCCACAGTTTCAGAAGTTTTTGTTCCCTTTTTTACTGCGCCCCACCACTCTGTACCTAGAAAGGGTACGGTTATTTGCTTAGTTTAAGGAAAGAAATAGAAAAGAGAAATGGGAAAGAAACGAAGAAACCGGGAAAAGGCAAAGAGAAAACTGCGAAAAAGCCGAGGAAGAAGAGAGCTCTTTAGGGGAGACGAAGAAACCTCTCTCCTGAAGAATGACATTTGAACCGCCATTTTGGTAACAACTAATCAAATTCTTTCTTAAGGTGAATATATTATTTTTATTTAGCCTCGGACACTTATTGGTCTATATATTATGTTAATTTATTTTTAAGGTAATATTTAATATAAAATTAATATTTTAATAATTAAAAGGGTCTTATCGGATAAGTTCTATTCAGATTTAAAATTGTTGAATTGATGGAATTGAAGATTTTCCTAATATTTCAAGGCTCATCTAATCTCCCCCCGCTGGAAATTTGACATAGAGTTTTATATAATTGCTTAGAATTTTTTTATAGAAATTTTGATGGATTATAATGATTTTTATATCCAATCAAAATTAATCTAAAGATCCATTGAATAAAGTAAGATTTTTTGGGCCAATTGAAAACTGAAAAACAATGAGGGATCGAATCCGTCATTTTCTTCTTTGTTAAACCTCACCGACGAGGACAATGGAAGGCTGAAATGAACCAGCATATTGCTTGCCATTCCACGCGCTCAGAACATGGTTAGGTACAAGAAAAGACTACAGGCGGATTTAGTCGCAAATGTGATCGAAGATCATTGAGCTTCTCGTCCCATAACTGAACACTCACTATTAGGTGGTAATAGTCGTTTGGTTTCAAATCAAACTGAACCGAGATAAAAAAATTACAACTAAGTTTTTTATCAAACAAAATGACTGAATTTACCTCTCAATCGAATCAATCGAACTAGTTCGGTTCAATCAATTTTTGACCTCCCGCAGTTTTCCCATTTCCAATTCATTTTAAAGGGTAATCGATAGATTTTTATGAACCCGACCTCCAACCGAGTCATAACATACTTCGGTTCAAATTCGAATAGATCGACACCCAACTTTCTTGATTCAGCTGATTGACGAATCGATGAGATTGGTTCGATTTCAGTTTTGTAGTTTGGTTCGGTCGGTATTGCACCACCTCTAGCGCCGTCTTGTCGAAAATCATTGGTTTCAACAATATTTTTATTTTAAATTGAAAATTAAAATAAATATATCTAGCACTCTAAAAAAATCCACGAAATCTTTGGGTTGGAATATAGATTCTGTGAATGAACTCTTCTATATATTTAGCACTTTAAAATTAATGAAATCCATAATTTCTATAGAATCCTCCAAATTAGCAATTTTGAATACCATTAAATTTGGTATAGACTTTTAAAAAGTCATAATTGAATACCATAATATTTTTATGGATCTTAGAAGAGTTTAAATTTTAATAACCACAAAATTAATAGACTTTAAAAATAATATAGATTGGAATGTTATTCGAATTTTAAAAATATATTTTGAAAATTTACAGAATCATAATCCAATACATACCTGTCCTAC